ACAAATTTAAAACCATTAATTTCCTACCTCAATTGTCTGTGATGCTGCAAAACATTTGTACAGTGGAACCTCAAATTTCGAAATTAATCCGTTCCAGGAGCTAGTTCTAAATTCGAAAAGTTTGAATAGCGAAGCAGTATTTCCCATAAAAAATAATGGAAATACAATTAATCCTCCAGAAACCCAAAAATATTCACAAAAAAATACATTTTATAGAGATTAATTATAGTTTTACATACACACAACGAATATGGTGTACAATTATGTATTAATAAATTTAAATAAACATATAAAATAACATTTTTACTTGCCTTTATTGAAGATTGGTGATGGCATCTGGAAAATAGGGAGGAGGAGAGAGGGAGTTGGGGTTAGTGTTTGGAAGGGGAATCCCCCTCCATAAGGACTTTAGGTATCAAAGCCCTTTCTGGGGTTACTTCCCTTCTCTGTCTTTTAATGCCACTAGGACCAGCTTGAGAGTCACTGGACCCCTGTCTCACAAAATAACTGTCCACAGTCCTCTGTTTCTGGTGCCTCTTTAAGATTTCCCTAAAATGGGACATGGTTTTGTCACTGAACTTGTTGCAAAGATGGCTTGTTTCAGCTTGCTCAGGGTGGTACTTCTGCACAAACATTTGGACATCATTCCATTTGGCGCAAATTTCCTTAATTTTTGAAGAAGGCGGACAGGTCCGGTACCCAGCGGTTCGAAAATAGGGGCTAGTTCGATAACAAGGACAAATTTGGTTCGAAAAAAGTGGTCGATTTTCGAAGAGTTCGATAAGCAATACGTTCAAAATTTAAGGTTCCACTTTATCTTTAATGTTTGTTAAAGTACTTGTCAGTTGAATCAGAAGCTGCAATAACAGTGACATTAATTTTACATTTTTTTTTTTTAACGAACTGGCCATATCCCATTGAGGCAGGGTGACTAAAAAGAAAAATGAAAGTTTTTCTTTTTATTTTATTTTTATTTTATTATCGCACTGCCCGATTCCCACCAAGGCAGGGTGGCCCGAAAAAGAAAAACTTTCACCATCATTCACTCCATCACTGTCTTGCCAGAAGGGTGCTTTACACTACAGTTTTTAAACTGCAACATTAACACCCCTCCTTCAGAGTGCAGGCACTGTACTTCCCATCTCCAGGACTCAAGTCCGGCCTGCCGGTTTCCCTGAACCCCTTCATAAATGTTACTTTGCTCACACTCCAACAGCACGTCAAGTATTAAAAACCATTTGTCTCCATTCACTCCTATCAAACACGCTCACACATGCCTGCTGGAAGTCCAAGCCCCTCGCACACAAAACCTCCTTTACCCCCTCTCTCCAACCTTTCCTAGGCCGACCCCTACCCCGCCTTCCTTCCACTACAGACTGATACACTCTTGAAGTCATTCTCTTTCGCTCCATTCTCTCTACATGTCCGAACCACCTCAACAACCCTTCCTCAGCCCTCTGGAAAACAGTTTTGGTAATCCCGCACCTCCTCCTAACTTCCAAACTACGAATTCTCTGCATTATATTCACACCACACATTGCCCTCAGACATGACATCTCCACTGCCTCCAGCCTTCTCCTCGCTGCAACATTCATCACCCATGCTTCACACCCATATAAGAGCGTTGGAAAAAACTATACTCTCATACATTCCCCTCTTTGCCTCCAAGGACAAAGTTCTTTGTCTCCAGACTCCTAAGTGCACCACTCACTCTTTTCCCCTCATCAATTCTATGATTCACCTCATCTTTCATAGACCCATCCACTGACACGTCCACTCCCAAATATCTGAATACATTCACCTCCTCCATACTCTCTCCCTCCAATCTGATATTCAATCTTTCATCACCTAATCTTTTTGTTATCCTCATATACTCTTTCCTGTATTCACCTTTAATTTTCTTCTTTTGCACACCCTACCAAATTCATCCACCAATCTCTGCAACTTCTCTTCAGAATCTCCCAAGAGCAGCTGTGACAACTCCCACTTTGTGTGTGATTCTTTATCTTTTAACTCCACGCCTCTTGCCAAGACCCTCACATTTACTTCTCTTACAACCCCATCTATAAATATATTAAACAACCACGGTGACATCACACATCCTTGTCTAAGGCCTACTTTTACTGGGAAATAATTTCCCTCTTTCCTACATACTCTAACTTGAGCCTCACTATCCTCGTAAAAACTCTTCACTGCTTTCAGTAACCTACCTCCTACACCATACACTTGCAACATCTGCCACATTGCCCCCCTATTCACCCTGTCATATGCCTTTTCCAAATCCATAAATGCCACAAAGACCTCTTTAGCCTTATCTAAATACTGTTCACTTATATGTTTCACTGTAAACACCTGGTCCCACACACCCCCTACCTTTCCAAAAGCCTCCTTGTTCATCTGCTATCCTATTCTCCGTCTTACTCTTAATTCTTTCAATAATAACTCTACCATACAGGTATACTCAGCAGACTTATCCCCCTATAATTTTTGCACTCTTTTATCCCCTTTGCCTTTATACAAAGGAACTATGCATGCTCTCTGCCAATCCCTAGGTACCTTACCCTTTCCATACATTTATTAAATATTGCACCAACCACTCCAAAACTATATCCCCACCTGCTTTTAACATTTCTATCTTTATCCATCAATCCTGGCTGCCTTACCCCTTTTCATTTTACCTACTGCCTCACGAACTTCCCCCACACTCACAACTGGCTCTTCCTCACTCCTACAAGATGTTATTCCTCCTTGTCCTATACACGAAATCACAGCTTCCCCTATCTTCATCAACATTTAACAATTCCTCAAAATATTCCCTCCATCTTCCCAATACCTCTAACTCTCCATTTAATAACTCTCCTCTCCTATTTTTAACTGACAAATCCATTTGTTCTCTAGGCTTTCTTAACTTGTTAATCTCACTCCAAAACTTTTCTTATTTTCAACAAAATTTGTTGATAACATCTCACCCACTCTCTCATTTGCTCTCTTTTTACATTGCTTCACCACTCTCTTAACCTCTCTCTTTTTCTCCATATACTCTTCCCTCCTTGCATCACTCTACTTTGTAAAAACTTCTCATATGCTAACTTTTTCCCTTACTACTCTCTTTACATCATCATTCCACCAATCGCTCCTCTTCCCTCCCACACCCACTTTCCTGTAACCACAAACTTCTGCTGAACACTAACACTACATTTTTAAACCTACCCCATACCTCTTCGACCCCATTGCCTATGCTCTCATTAGCCCATCTATCCTCCAATAGCTGTTTATATCTTACCCGAACTGCCTCCTCTTTTAGTTTATAAACCTTCACCTCTCTCTTCCCTGATGCTTCTATTCTCCTTGTATCCCATCTACCTTTTACTCTCAGTGTAGCTACAACTAGAAAGTGATTTGATATATCTGTGGCCCCTCTATAAACATGTACATCCTGAAGTCTACTCAACAGTCTTTTTTCTACCAATACATAATCCAACAAACTACTGTCATTTCGTCTTAAATCATAATCTTGTATACTTATTTATCCTCTTTTTCTTAAAATATGTATTACCTATAATAAACCCTTTCTATACAAAGTTCAATCAAAGGGCTCCCATTATCATTTACACCTGGCACCCCAAACTTGCCTACCACACCCTCTCTAAAAGTTTCTCCTACTTTAGCATTCAGGTCCCCTACCACAATTACTCTCTCACTTGGTTCAAAGGCTCCTATACATTCACTTAACATCTCCCAAAATCTCTCTCTCTCCTCTGCATTCCTCTCTTCTCAAGGTGCATACACGCTTATTATGACCCACTTCTCGCATCCAACCTTTACTTTAATCCACATAATTCTTGAATTTACACATTCATATTCTCTTTTCTCCTTCCATAACTGATCATTCAACATTACTGCTACCCCTTCCTTTGCTCTAACTCTCTCAGATACTCCAGATTTAATCCCATTTTTTTTCTTTTTAAACTTGGTAATTTATACAGAAGGGGTTACTAGCCCCTTTCTCCTGGGATTTTAGTCACCTCTTATGACACACAATTTATGGAAGAATAATTCTTTTCTGCTTCCCCACAGAATTAGTTTTGCATTTATTGAATAAAACTATTTCTATTCACTGTGGTACTGTACAAAAAAGTGCTAAGCTTCTTTATCTTCAATATTTCAGGCAAGGTATTACAATAGTATATTACTGACTTGGTTGAATAAAATTATTATATTCCTCTTCTTTCAACAAACCGGCTGTATCCCACTGAGGCAGGGTGGCCCAAAAAGAAAAACAAAAGTTTCTCTTTTCAAATTTAGTAATTTATACAGGAGAAGGGGTTACTAGCCCCTTGCTCCCAGCATTTTAGTCGCTTCTTACAACACGCATGACTTACGGAGGAAGAATTCTGTTCCACTTCCCCATGGAGATAAAAGGAAATAAACAAGAACTAGAAAGAAAATAGCAGAAAACCCAGAGGGGTGTGTGTATATATATATGCTTGAACATGTATGTGTAGTGTGACCTAAGTGTAAGTAGAAGTAGCAAGACGTACCTGAAATCTTGCATGTTTATGAGACCCTACCATCATGTAAAACAATTACAGGCTTTTGTTTTACAATCACTTGGCAGGATGGTAGTACTTCCCTGGGCAGTTGCTGTCTACCAACCTTCTACCTATGATTATTATATTCATGGGACATTATTATTATGATAAAAAGAAGCACTAAACCCACTAGGATTCACGGGTCAGGAGTGTGTGGTGATTATTATTATTATTATTATTATAATCAAAAAGAAGCGCTAAGCCACAAGGACTATACAGCAGTGTGTGGTGAACCCATAGGGATTGTACAGTGCCTGCGAGAATGGAAGGCAATCAGATTTGATCTGAAGGGAGGATATGTCCAATTTCTTGGATCAAAAGTCCTATCACTTGCATCAAGACACTTGCTTCCTTTGAAGGGTATAGCTAAATAAAAAATCATTGAAAAGTAGATAAAAACAAAAAGCATGACAAAACTCATATTTGTTTATTTCACTGTCATTTGTTAATATTTTATAAACTTTTAATTTATAACGATATAATTTCATAAGTTAATTTATAACTATACAATTTCATAAGTTACAACTTCAGAAATAGGTTTTCCTCATGGGACTCAAACAAATAATAAAAATAAATACCAGATCTCTGGTAAACATCTTAATATCCAAATACAGTGGTACCTCAGGATACAAACTTAATTCATTTCAGAAGGCTGTTTGAGTGCCGATACCGAACGAATTTGTTCCCATAAGGAATAATGTAAATTAGATTAATCTGTTTCAGACCCCCAAAAATACACTTACAAAAGCACTTACATAAATACACTTACATAATTGTTCGAGTTTTAAGCTGTTCGTATCCTGAGGTACCACTGTATCTTCATTTATCTTAACATTTTGACGTATCAGACTCCATCAGTAGTAAAACAGCTGAGAACAATTACCCATCAGAATAGCTGGTCCTTATGAATATTAGGTTAGATATTATAATATTTATATTCTTATTTGTGTACCTTAGATACATTTTCAATATGAAGAATCCAATTAAATATTGGCAATAATTTTTAGTTGTTTTAGCATTGATGAAACAATCTTCCAATGTTTAGATATATGAAGATGTCTGTATATGAAATTAAGATGTTTACCAATGCTTTGGTATTTCTGCAATTTATTCATAGTTGTTTCACTCACAAAATTAGCTTTAAATAGGCCTCTAAATCTGGTAACTGATGCCAAACATAAACTGACAGTCTTGTAACTACAAACCAACAGAGCATCACTAGATTTTAAATTTGGAAAGTGTGAATTCCTTCAACTTTTACTCGCTAGTACAATGACTTTCCATTAAACATATTTACTAAAGGTTTCAATTTAGACTGTCTTGACATTATATTATGCATAATTAATACACAAAATGATGCAATGCACATTGGACAATGTCAGCTTTTTCCATATTTTTAGTCATATAAAAGAATTATTATGATGTATATGTATTGATATAATTTTCATTAACAAGAAAAATATTCAGCTGAATGCATTTCATACTTTACCCATTGGTACATTTCATGTACGTATAGCATCACACAATCAGCCCCTGTAGATAAGTCTCTAAGCATATTTCATACAATTGGTTATAATTACTATAATCAAACTAAGAACAAAACCCAATATTTATTATTATTATAATCAAGGGGAAGTAATAAACCCACCCCCAACATCTAACACTTAATTATGTTTATTTTCAAAATGCATCATGGAAATTTTTGTTCCCTGTTAGAGATATCTGCATAAGCCACTTTAAGGCATTTCTATTCTGTATGTTCAAAACAAAATAATCTGGTATAGAAAAAATGTATCCAATGGTATTTTTTCATTTTGCATCAATATGTCTTAATAAATAATTAATTACCTTTATTGTGCTTACTTGAGTTGTAGGACACTAAGCACAAATATTGTTGTTGTGCAATGCTACAACATTTTGGCACTATTGTACCCACTAGTAGGTAGGCTACTTCAAGTCAGGATATACATACAGAAAATTATTAAGTGCAGGAGGTACATGTAAAGTTAACATTCAAGGATTTTATTATTTTTTTTTGTTTTGGTTGGCATAATGACATCTTTCCACACCAGTTTACATGTCACTCACAACCCAAGATCATCATTCCAACCAATAATTCATTCTCTGTTAGTTTATGTACACAATACCTAAACTTAACCAGCCACATATGTTACAAACAGGAATATTAAACATACATATAAACAAGTCCATAAAGGTTCAGAGAAATGTATTTCTTTATACATTTATGAGTATCAGAACAAAAATTCAGTCCTTGATTGTGGTGCTGAAAAGGTATAGCACTAATGAGCACATAAGCAACAAAATATATACATCACCAGTGTATTGAATCACATCTCTATAATTATATTACCAAACCGATTCGACATATACTATGCTGTAGTCCCATTTTTTGTTTTTTTTGGTGAGATTCTGTAATATATATATATTATACATAATATCAATACTGTACCACACACTACAATGCTAAACCACTCAAGCTCAACATCACTTCATTCAAATATGGTAATATTCAAAATTAGACATTTCATATAATTTTTATTAGCTAGAAAAATTAATGTATGTAAAAACTTGAGAGTAAATACACTTTAACCATTTTCAAATCCAACTCTTTGCAAATTTTGATTTGATATTAATGAATAAATTACATTTAAATATTGTAGCTCAAACTTAAATGTATGATATAATAAAAGCATTAAAGCAGTGAACTTGTTCCGGTCACAATAAACCAGATTGATGCTGAACATTACATTTATTCATCTAAATAACCAACTACTGTATTTTACAGCTTCAAAGACACTTTTTTTTTTTTTCCAAAATAAGTCTAAATTTTACTCAGCATCTTGAAGGCCAAAAGCTGCGTTGCTCATAGGCCTCAGCCTAAGCCTAGGAAAGTGTTTCGATACTGTACTAGGCAGTAATTTAAACTCCTGTATATGACCCAATAATGAATTACATAAACTATTTTGTATAAAATAATAAAAATAATCATAAAAATTTGTTGGTGCTTAGCACCAGTAGTAATACACAAAAGCCACCATTTGCTCACTGTAGGTTTGTTTTTGTTGTGTTGCAGTATAAATGTGCTCTTATTAAATAGCAAAATCAATAAACTTCAAAATAGCAACACAAAATATTTTTAAAACACACAAAAAATAACCATCACAAATCAGTATGCAGTCCTAGCCGTAAACACATCCACTCGCATGCATTGAGACAGTGAGTAGAAAGAGAACACGGCCAATCACAAGAAACAGCCGTATATGCTGAGAAAGTTGGTTCATTTAGAAGATCTAGAATAATTGCCTGTATACTGGTCAGTGAGAGCAATGGACATGTTATTTTTGTAATGTTTTTTAGAGCTGTTTCACGTAAATTTAGCCAGTTTTCAGTGCTATTTGAAAATTTCATTTGGCAATCCCACCAGTCAGCTGCATCAGTGGTAAACAACCATAAAATGAACCATCAATAACTGTGTTTTTACATGTAATACCTTAGGCTTAACATAACATTATTACTGTGGCCACCGTTTATCTTTTTTCCAAAATTTAGTCAGAAATGGGGGCGTCCTTGACGCGAGCGTTTTTTTCACCGTAAAATACGGTATATTCCAAAAGATAACATACAGTATAATTACAGAAACAACTTCAATAGCAAAAGAAAAAGTACCACATATTTTCAATGGAAATGCCAACCAATGAAGTACTAAAGGAGTTATGACCAGAGTGACTTTAATAACATAGTACTGTACATGAAAAACAATACCAACCCAGCATGGCCATGAGGTCATGTGTGTGCCAGTAGCCTAGCAACAGATATGTTAACCTTGCAGTGGTGATGTAATAAAACTACACTACCACTAGGATACACCTAATATGACAATGTGTTCCATTTCACTTTATCAAGTGGCCAGGGATAGTCCTGTGACTAACACAGGCATTATTACTGTACCATTGTCAATATGGCAAATATATTTATGTTCATTGACATTATAAATCTCTATGTATATTTTCTCACATCCTTCACATATTAATATTACAATAAAGAAAGAAGTGGTAAACCTAATATCCTTCACATAGTTCGAAGTAATCCAGCTTTGGTTTCAACTCAACTAAATTTGCTCTTTAAGTTTCTAATAATACTGCTCATAGTAATGATACTCCAAGATTGTTCTTAGAGAAAGCATTGGAAATATTTTTACCCACTTTACTGTAAGGGTGACAAATCTTTCTAGAAATTTGTCAAACTTGGGGATATCGTAGGTCCATAGAGCCCAACATCTACAGTTATTGAAGAAATGAAAGGGAAGTATAGTTTAGGGAATACCCCTCAGGGTACTCAGAGCTACATGCTAGTCCCTAGGCCCTCAGAGTCCAATGACAACTCCACATTTCATATTGTTGTGGTCTAAGTGCATTAAACTGCCCTTTTTAGTTAATTCTGGGTACATGTTTGAAAGGGAGCTTACTGCTAAATCTATAAAAAAAAGTATAGAAAAGAAAATAAGTTTCTCTTAATATTTCTCTTCAAGTGAATATAATGGAAAGCTCAACTGTGCGAAATCTCTGTCCTACGTCAGTGATGCGGAACCTTCGAAGTGCTGTGAGAAGAATATTATCCACGTACAGCAACCATGTCACAATGTTAAGAATGAAAGGGGTGAAATTTTTTTTTTACCCTCAGGTACTGAAGGTACAATTTGCTAGTAACACAGTAATGAGGGGACCCCATTGCCATGCCCAAATTTTACCTATACAGGGAGTTACTATAAGAAAAGCAATTAAAATTCACGAACATTTCAATAAGATCAATGAAACTGTTGGCAGAAAGATTAAAGTAGTCATTGACCTTCCTTCAATGAAGCTCAATAGCCTTGGTTGTAGATACATTGCAGCGCTGTATAGCCCTTGTGGCTTAGCGCTTCTTTTTTGATTATAATAATAATAATGTAGATACATTTGTAAATAAAGAAACTACATCCAGACTAGCTAATTTCTCATGTTAATGTATAGTATTTAACACAGTTGAGGTTACCAATGTTGTAAATGTGAGTTTATGATCTGCCCCATCAGTTTCAATATTCTTTGGCTAGAGGTCTCACTAATTTGTGAGGAGTACTGCCAATGCCTGATGCAATAGGGGTAAGTGGGACATTGGCTTCATTGATCTTAGAAACATTATACATATGTGCTAGTCTATGGTTCATTGATGTCTCTGGTGTTTAGTAGTTCTATCATTCTGGAGTATTAGGGGAAAGCACTAAACCCTTACAGGTCATGCAGTCATCATCTTGTAGCTCTGAGTCAGAGGCACTGCAAAGCTCTGTAGATGGCTGAGAAGACACAGATGACCAAGAAGACATAGATGGCCAAGAAGGCATACATGGATGAGGAGGCTTAGATTCCCGAGAACTACACATTTTCTCTTGGCACCATCACTTGCTTTAAAAGCCATTGTCAATTAAACTGTATTTAATATGTTAATAAAGTAACACAAAATGCCCTAAATCCAGGGAAAATTAGAAACTGAGTAACAAGCATATGCATGGGTGAGCATAAACAATAAACTGGCATGGGTGGCTTACAGCTCGGGGAACAATGAAAACAGACAGGTCCTAGACATGGCAGCTTTGACTTCTACTGGAAAAACGTTGGATATATTGGACTTTGTCTGATACTTCAGAAGACAACTGGATGTTATCGATATGGCATTATGGACATTTGTCCATTTTTTTCTATCTCAATGTGATCTCACAGCTAAGATTTTGTTCCTTCATTGTGACATATTCACATTTTTAAAGCAAGTCGGTAATCCTTTTTCTTTCTCTGTGTATACTTCTATGCTCTCTAAGACCTTCCAAAAGGTAATTAGGTTATCTACCATAATTAACACGTGAAAAGTAAATCTAGCGAGTATATTTTCAATAAAACTGGATAGTTGGTCTTCAATTTAATCCTTTTGGGGTAGGTCCCTTTGTACTACAACTTTGAAGCCAGGGTTGATCCCCTTGTTCTACATGATGAGGTCTGTATAATCCTCTGGGTTTAGCGCTTCCCCCTTGATTATAATAATAATAATAATAATAATAATACATGATGAGGTCAGTTCTCTCAGATAAACTGTGAGCAGTAAATCTGGGCCTAGATATGAGAGAATGGGTCTGTGTGGTAAGTGTGCAACACAAAAAAAAAAAAAAAAAAAAAAAAAAAAAAAAAAAAAAAAATTGCAGTATGCAGTGCATAATGGGAAAAAACTCCAACCATGTTTTTTGTTTAAAACAGCAACTTTGTGGTGTATTTTTGTATGGTTTTTGTGGTTATATTCTTGGTTTCTTCATCTCATCTTATACAATGGAAGATATATTACAGAAATAGAGATAATTTTCATTGGTTTCAGGAATGAAAGCTTGAAATTGAGCTCAAAGTAGTTGAAATGTTTGATTTCTGTCAATACTTCAGAGTACACAAATTTTGCCACCTGTCCAATATGCGTCCAACTGGTCGATCTAAAAAATGTTCACGAATGTGCTGACATTATTTATACGTACTCCTCAAGGAAGGTTCCTTGATGTTGGTGAGGGGCTCTTGATTTAGGGAATTGGATCTGTGCTCCAGTTCCCCGAATTAAGCCTGAATGCCTTCCACATCCCCCCCAAGCGCTGTATGATCCTCCGGGTTTAGCGCTTCCCCCTTGATTATAATATAATAATAATAATATTTATACGTACAATTATTATGATGCAGTAGTCTACATTACTGTAATAATGCACTGTGAATAAAAATTCAAAATAGAAAGCAAGTGTAATATAAGAGAAGCCTGGGTACATAACTAATGAACAGAGGAAATGTTTTAGTGCTAGGAATGTCTACATTGTTAATTCTGGACCCTGTTTTTAAATTGGCAATTTTTTAATTTTGTGTGAAACTGGCAAAATTACCAATTTCTGATCACTTTTATGGGTAGTTGCAATAGGTAAATGGGTGGTTTCTTGTACTCAACTATTAGAAGGAATACTAGCAAAATAGCTGAGTTTGGTTGATGGAACAATGGAATTGGCCAAAAATAGGGCTCAAAGTGGGTGAAATCGCTGAGACAGCTAACTTTGAAAGAGTGCAATTCCATAGTTTTCCACCAAATTTTGTACTTTTGGTTTCATTACTTTCGGAAAAAGATTATCATTTCATGAGAATTTTTTTATTTTTTAAAAATTCTTAGACCCCGAGAGCAAGTTTCAGATCACGGGTTCCGACCTTGAAAGGGTTAAGTGTTGCCAGCCAATCCAAAAGAAAATGAGTGATATAAAATGCAAATATTATAAACTACATAATTCATAACTAATCAACAACTGGAGAGAAAACTTTAGACAATGTTTGAGTCCCTCCTGGACTATTTTGAGTTAGATGCCAGAGAAAAGATAAAAAAAAACCTGCCAGATAACAAATCAGTTGATTAATATTATTATTATTACTATAATATTATTATGATAAAAAACTGTCGTATCTGAGTGCCTCTGCAAACACAGTGATTATGTATGAAGTGAAAGTGTTGAATGATGATAAAAGTATTTTTTCTTTTTGGGGATTTTCTTTCTTTGTGGGTCACCCTGCTGTATAATCCTACGGGTTTAGTGCTTCCCCCTTGATTATAATAATAATAATGTGGGTCACCCTGCCTCGGTGGGAGACGACTGACATATTGGAAAAAACAAAAAAGGAGCGCTAAACCCATTAGTGTCAACAAATCAGTTAAACAGGTGAGGAAAAGCTAATGTCCTATCAAGTGTTTTGAGGATTAATACATTAGACAATGTCCAGCCAGTACTGGGTGAAGGTCACCTAGTTGTGAATTGTTCTTGTTATGGTACACTGACTTATTCAACAATACGAGCAATTTGCTCCATTTGTTCTCGAATTTGTTTCTACACTTCTTAGGAGCAAAGATTTAAAAAAAAAAAAAAAAAAAAAAGCTTAGCAATGGGCACTTGAATTTTTCTGTAAAGACAGTGATAGTGTGAATGATGGTGAAAGTTTCTTTTTTTTGGTCACCCCACCTCAGTGGGAGACAGCCAGTATGTTAAAAATATACATATATTTTTTTTAAACATGTCGGCCATTTCCCATCGAGGCAGGGTGACCCAAAGGGAAAGAAAAACCCCAAAAGAAAGAAAAAAAAACTTTCATCATCATTCAACACTTTCACCATCATTCACGCATAATCACCATGTTTGCAGAGGCGCACAGATACAACAGTTCAGATGTCACTCCAAACAGCCAATATCCCAAACCCCTCCTTTAAAGTGCAGGCATTGTACTTCCCACCTTCAGGACTCAAGTCTGGCTAATTAGTTTCTCTGAATCCCTTCACAAAATATTACCCTGCTCACACTCCAACAGCTTGTCAGGTCCCAAAAACCATTTGTCTCCATTCACTCCAATCTAACATGCTCACACATGCGTGCTGCATGTCCAGGCCCCTTGCCTGCAAAACCTCTATGGCTCCTTCCCTCCCTCCCCTCCCCTACAGAGTTATATGCCCTCCAAGTTCTATTTTGCTCCACCTCTCTAAATAACCAAACCACCTCAATAACCCCTCTTCTGTCCTTTGAAAAATACTTTTAGTAACTCCACCTCCCCTAATTTCCACACTATGAATTCTCTGCATAATATTTACACCACACACTGCCCTTAGACACGACATCTCCACTACCTCCAGAAGTGTTAGAACTAAATCTTTTATTTAATTTACCAGTAATTTATTCAAACTTTTAGAACTAATTGTTTAAAAAAAAAAGTGACTGGCATAGCTGTCATTAAAACTCCACAACTAAACAGATATTTTTTACCAGCTAATATCTGCTCCTCCATAGCAGACTAACTGAGGTCGTATAAATCACTATTTTTTGTAATTAACTTTGTAGGTTCCCAATTTTCCTCATAATTTTATTTTGAAAGTACAATGATAATCATACCATACCCTATGGTCAATGCTGGCCTTAATTTTGCTATATAAATTGCATTTGCATCAGTACAGTTATGCTACGCCTGACTGATACCAAATACTTAAATGTGAATCTAAAATTACCAAGGGCATGGTAATATAAAATTTTTGTTTTAATTGTTTCAGACTAGTTACAAAATCTTGTATTTTTTATAGTGGACAAACCAGGCAGGCAAGCATACAGATACACAATTAAATCAATGCAATAGTTGAGACCAAAAGATTTAAAAAATTAGTAATTTATGTCCAGATCTTAAATTATTTGACAAAGAAGCTATACATACAGTAGGCATCATAAATATGCACAAGCAAATATTCCTTTAGCAGACAATTTGCTAACAGTTTTGAGAAGTGCGAGGGCAACTTTTGTATGCAGGGCAACTTTTGCCTTACTGTCAAAGATATAAAAGACTGGCTACATGATTGTGATACATAATTCTTTAATGACTAACTTGGAAACTCGTGTACTTTAATCTGATAGGAAACAAGCAGAACCTTATTAAGCGTAAGCCTCATGGTATGGACATGTCCACTATTCCCAAATTCTCAAAGTGTTATTAAGCAGGCATGGGAGGGTACTGACTCTTCTGTCCTCCATAATATAGCCTTATCAGTACCTGGGAGACACAAGGAGTGCATCAAAAGGTAGGATAATTCTATGAAATACTTGGAAAGGTAAGCATCCCATAAATATTTCAATATTTTATGCATAAAGGAATAATTTGTAGCAAGCATTTTCATTATCTGTGTGATGGGTTTGTGTGCATATACATATTATACCTACTCGTGTGTGTGTGTGTGCATGTGTGTGTGCATGTGTGTGTGCACGTGTGTATGCGTGTGTGCATGTGTGTGTGCATGTGTGTGTGAATGTGTGTGTGTGTGTGTGTGTGTGTGTGTGTGTGTGTGTGTGTGTGTGTGTGTGTGTGTGTGTGTGTGTGTGTGTGTGTGTGTATGTGTGTATGTGTGTGTGTGTGTGTGTGTGTGTGTGTGTGTGTGTGCGTGTGTGTGTGTGTGTGTGTGTGTGTGTGTGTGTGTGTGTGTGTGTGTGTGTGTGTGTGTGTGTGTGTGTGTGTGTGTGTGTACTCACCTATTTGTGGTTGCAGGGGTCGAGTCACAGCTCCTGGCCCCGCCTCTTCGCTGATTGCTACTAGGTCCTCTCTCTCCCTGCCCCATGAGCTCTATCATACCTCGCCTTAAAACTATGTATGGTTCCTGCCTCCACTACATCACTTTCTAGGCTATTCCATGGTCTGACTACTCTATGACTGAAGAAATACTTCCTAACATCCCTTTGATTCATCTGAGTCTTCAACTTCCAATTGTGACCTCTTGTGTCTGTGTCCCATCTCTGGAACATCCCGTCTTTGTCCACCTCGTCTATTCCGCGCAGTATTTTATATGTCGTTATCATGTCTCCCCTGACCCTCCTGTCCTCCAGTGTCGTCAGGCCGATTTCCCTCAACCTTTCTTCATAGGACAATCCCCGTAGCTCTGGGACTAGTCTTGTTGCAAACCTTTGCACTTTCTCTAATTTCTTGAAGTGCTTGACTAGGTGTGGATTCCAAACTGGTGCTGCATACTCCAGTATGGGCCTGACGTAGATGGTATACAGAGTCTTAAACAAATCCTTACTGAGGTATCGGAACGCTATCCGTAGGTTTGCCAGGCGCCCGTATGCTGCGTGTGTGTGTGTGTGTGTGTGTGTGTGTGTGTGTGTGTGTGTGTGTGTGTGTGTGTGTGTGTGTGTGTGTGTGTGTGTGTGTGCGTGTGTGTGCGTGCGTGCGTGCGTGCGTGTGTGCGTATATATTCCTAACTGCAAATATTGTAATGTAATGGTCATTAATCTCCATAAAAAAAAAAAAAAGGTACATCAATATCTTTCCATAGAAATCACATGTTTGATGCCAGGATTTGCAGGATTCTTCATTTACATTAACATCATCTGTTTGATAACCAACATAAAAGAGTAAACTTATCAATATCAATTATTTTTACTCAAATACATGGAAGATTTTTCCTACATACTGATACATCAAAGACAAATTCCTGGTTATTTTAATCAAAGTTGTCTTACATCTTGCCATACTAGCAAACTGACTCATAATTGCAGAAGTACATTGGGAATTTATTATAATATATTGCATTCATTTATTGTAAAAACAATTTAATGCATTAAATTATTCACCCGCTTTAGGTAAGACTGGTTCTTATAGTTAAATTAAAAGCAAAGAGTTTTAATTAAAACAGTTCACTCATAAAATCAGGAGTGTAGTTAAAAGACAAAGTAAGGACTACTATTATTCTCAACATAAGTGATAACCAATAACTGAATTGGTATAATAAAGTCAAAATTCTTCATGAAGCAGTAGCTTATCAAAAAAAAAAATTAATTCCCACACTAATGCACTGAAAAGGTCCAAACTACTGCACAATATTCCATGGAAGCAATAAACAAGTATGGGGTCATATATCTTCAACTATTCCAAGTTGATGAATCAGCTGCCCCTAATACAACAAAAACTTTTAAAATTATAATAGCATGAACCCTTTAAGTCAACATTAACTTTGAAAAGACATGTATAAGAATTAAAACTTTGTGGGATTAATCTAATACCTAAAAATTTAAATTCTCATTCCCTAATTAGTTCAGTACTGACACAATACTGTATACAACAACTGCAGCTTAAACCACAACCAGAAGCAATGGATGTCAAAATAACTTTAAAAATTTATGACTTCTTACCAGAACAAATCAGTCAAGCATTACCTGCAGATATATGCTGTCAATATCATCAAGGAGTATTTTTAAAAATACTGTCATGAACATCCATGAGAAAAATATTCATCCAACACAACACCTGCCTAGAGCTGGCGCCACGTACGGTAAATGCATGTTCTCGACATTGAAGATGAACAAGAAGACCTTACTGATCTGTCTAGTGTTGACCAGCTATAACATTACTAGCTACTAAAGGAGCATTAGGAATCTGACCAACAACAGGCCCCTGTAGCTGGGAATGCTGACCTTGTATAACCTGTCCTGGGAGAGGCTGGACATTTACAATTTGTCCTTGAGCTGGATGGCCTGGTGCAGCCTGCCCCAGAGCAGCCTGACTTTGTGCAACCTGCCCCTGGTCAACATGACCTTGTACAACCTGCCCCTGGATGGCCTGACCTTGTGAAACCTGTCCCTGGGCAGTCAAAGCATGTGCAGCTTGCCCCTGGGCAACCTGACCTTGTGTAATGTGCCCCTGGGCAGCCTGACCTTGTACAACCTGTCCTTGGGCAGCCTGACCTTGTGCAACCTGTCCCTGACCTTGTATATTTCCTTGCAGTGGATGACCTTGCACAACTTGTCCTGTGGCTGGCTGACCTTGTAGAACCTGCCCTTGGATGGGTTGACCAGATAAAGGCTGACCTGGGACCTGCTGCAAAATAAAGATTAACCAAAGAATTATTAATATATTGATAGATCTGTAGAACATAAAGAAAAATTTATATATTCTGACAATAAAAAAGATATAAAGATACATATATATGCATGTATGTACAGGAGGACCCTGTCTGTACAGCTCTAAGGGTCCTGACTGTGCGATAAACGAAAATCTACAGCGGGTGAAAAAGAGCATTTTTTCGTTATCGAATGTGTCTAAAACATCTGATAACGTGCTTCCACTATCATATATTAACCCTATAACTGTCCAAATGTAGTTCTACATTTTCACTGCCAGCACTCCGAATGTTTTGCCAAAAAAAAAAAAAAAAAAAAAAAAAAAAATTTAGTCAGTACTTACTGAATTATATGGAGTAATGCCACCAGCAGAAATGTTGCAGATATATAATTTTTTCCATTTTTTCTTAGTTTTTATAGTTTGATAATTATGTTTAGGAGATTCTAAAGAGAAGTTGCAAAGGTTAGTGGACAAATTTGGGAGTGTGTGTAAAGGAAGAACGTTGAAAGTGAACATAGATAAGAGTAAGGTGATGAGGGTATCAAATGATTTAGATAAAGAAAAATTTGATATCAAATTGGAGGGAGGGAGGGAGTATGGAGAAGTGAATGTGTTCAGATATTTGGAAGTTGACTTGTCAGCAGATGGGTTTACGAAGGACAAGGTTAACCATAGAACTGATGAAGAAAAAGAGGTGAGTGGTGCTTTGAGGTATCTGTGGAGACAAAAAACATTATCCATAGAGGCAAAGAAGGGAATGTATGAGAGTATAGTGGTACCAATGCTCTTATATGGGTGTGAAGCATGGGTTGCAAATGCTGCAGCAAGGAGGAGGCTTGAGGCAGTGGAGATGTCGTGTAGTGTAAATATTATGCAGAGAACTCGTAGTGTGGAAATTAGGAGGTATGGAGTTACTAAAAGTATTAATAAGAGAGCTGAGTAGGAGTTGTTGAGGTGGTTTGGTCATTTAGAGAGGGTGGAACAAACCAGAATGACTTGGAGAGCATATAAATCTATAGGGAAAGGAAGACAGGGTAAGAGTTGTCCTAGGAAAGATTGGAGGGAGGGGGTAAAGGAGGTTTTGTGGGCGAAGGGCTTGGACTTCCAGAAAGTGTGCATGAGCGTGTTAAGATAGGAGTGAATGTAGACCACAAATGACCACTAATGCAAGTTTTTGCAGATGAATCCCTCAAAATCATCATGACTCATGAAATCATAATGACATGATTGCAAACAAACCACTGTATGGGCAGGAATTGAACTCGTTGCTCACTAGCCGCAAGTTCAGTCCCCACCCATACCATGGTTTAGAATGGAAACCTGTAACTGTTTTACATGATGGTAGGATTGTTAGTGTCTTTTTTCTGTCTCATAAACATGCAATATTTCAGGTACTTACTTCTACTTAAGAAAGCCTAGAGAACAAATGGATTTGTCAGTTAAAAATAGGAGAGGAGAGTTATTAAATGGAGAGTTAGAGGTATTGGGAAGATGGAGGGAATATTTTGAGGAATTGTTAAATGTTGATGAAGATAGGGAAGCTGTGATTTCGTGTATAGGACAAGGAGGAATAACATCTTGTAGGAGTGAGGAAGAGCCAGTTGTGAGTGTGGGGGAAGTTCATGAGGCAGTAGGTAAAATGAAAGGGGGTAAGGCAGCCGGGATTGATGGGATAAAGATAGAAATGTTAAAAGCAGGTGGGGATATAGTTTTGGAGTGGTTGGTGCAATTATTTAATAAATGTATGGAAGAGGGTAAGGTACCTAGGGATTGGCAGAGAGCATGCATAGTTCCTTTGTATAAAGGCAAAGGGGATAAAAGAGAGTGCAAAAATTATAGGGGGATAAGTCTGCTGAGTATACCTGGTAAAGTGTATGGTAGAGTTATTATTGAAAGAATTAAGAGTAAGACGGAGAATAGGATAGCAGATGAACAAGGAGGCTTTAGGAAAGGTAGGGGGTGTGTGGACAGGTGTTTACAGTGAAACATATAAGTGAACAGTATTTAGATAAGGCTAAAGAGGTCTTTGTGGCATTTATGGATTTGGAAAAGGTGTATGACAGGGTGGATAGGGGGGCAATGTGGCAGATGTTGCAAGTGTATGGTGTAGGAGGTAGGTTACTGAAAGCAGTGAAGAGTTTTTACGAGGATAGTGAGGCTCAAGTTAGAGTATGTAGGAAAGAGGGAAATTATTTCCCAGTAAAAGTAGGCCTTAGACAAGGATGTGTGATGTCACCGTGGTTGTTTAATATATTTATAGATGGGGTTGTAAGAGAAGTAAATGCAAGGGTCTTGGCAAGAGGCGTGGAGTTAAAAGATAAAGAATCACACACAAAGTGGGAGTTGTCACAGTTGCTCTTTGCTGATGACACTGTGCTCTTGGGAGATTCTGAAGAGAAGTTGCAGAGATTGGTGGATGAATTTGGAAGGGTGTGCAAAAGAAGAAAATTAAAGGTAAATACAGGAAAGAGTAAGGTTATGAGGATAACAAAAAGATTAGGTGATGAAAGATTGAATATCAGATTGGAGGGAGAGAGTATGGAGGAGGTGAATGTATTCAGATATTTGGGAGTGGACGTGTCAGCGGATGGGTCTATGAAAGATGAGGTGAATCATAGAATTGATGAGGGGAAAAGAGTGAGTGGTGCACTTAGGAGTCTGTGGAGACAAAGAACTTTGTCCTTGGAGGCAAAGAGGGGAATGTATGAGAGTATAGTTTTACCAACGCTCTTATATGGGTGTGAAGCATGGGTGATGAATGTTGCAGCGAGGAGAAGGCTGGAGGCAGTGGAGATGTCATGCCTGAGGGCAATGTGTGGTGTGAATATAATGCAGAGAATTCGTAGTTTGGAAGTTAGGAGGAGGTGCGGGATTACCAAAACTGTTGTCCAGAGGGCTGAGGAAGGGTTGTTGAGGTGGTTCGGACATGTAGAGAGAATGGAGCGAAACAGAATGACTTCAAGAGTGTATCAGTCTGTAGTGGAAGGAAGGCGGGGTAGGGGTCGGCCTAGGAAAGGTTGGAGAGAGGGGGTAAAGGAGGTTTTGTGTGCGAGGGGCTTGGACTTCCAGCAGGCATGCGTGAGCGTGTTTGATAGGAGTGAATGGAGACAAATGGTTTTTAATACTTGACGTGCTGTTGGAGTGTGAGCAAAGTAACATTTATGAAGGGGTTCAGGGAAACCGGCAGGCCGGACTTGAGTCCTGGAGATGGGAAGTACAGTGCCTGCACTCTGAAGGAGGGGTGTTAATGTTGCAGTTTAAAAACTGTAGTGTAAAGCACCCTTCTGGCAAGACAGTGATGGAGTGAATGATGGTGAAAGTTTTTCTTTTTCGGGCCACCCTGCCTTGGTGGGAATCGGCCAGTGTGATAATAAAATAATATAACTTCTACTTACACTTAGGTCACACTACACATGCATGTACAAGCATATATATACACACCTCTCTGGGTTTTCTTTTATTTTCTTGCTAGTTATTGTTCTTGTTTATTTTCTCTTATCTCCATGGGGAAGTAGAACAGAATTCTTCCTCCATAAGCCAAGCATGTCGTAAGAGGCAACTAAAATGTCAGGAGCAAGGGGGCTAGTAACCCCTTCTCCTGTATATATTACTGTATTAAATTTAAAAAGAAAAAAAATCGTTTTTCTTTTTATGTCACCCTGCTTCAGTGGGATATAGCCAGTTTGTTGAAAAAAAGAAAAGTAATGTGTGTACCCTATATGCATTTTTCTGGCCTAGCTATATTGCTCACTGAATATATGACCGTGTGAACATGTTATCAGGATTTTGTATGCATTTCAAAGTCTAGAACCTAACCCGCTTTATAAACAGGGCCCTCCCATTTCCCGCCAAGGCAAAGATACCCAAAAAAGAGAAACTTTTATCGTCATTCACTCCATCACTGTCCTCCCAGAGGTGTGCCTACACTACAGTTAAAAAACTGCAACATATGAATATGTCTCCTTTAGAAGGCAGGCACTGTACTTCCCACCTCCAGGACTCAAGTCCAGCTAACCGGTTTCCCTGAATCCTTTTGTGTTACTTTGCTCACAGTCTAACAGCACGTCAAGTTATAAAAACCATTAGCTCCTATTTAACACACTCACAGATGCTTGGTGGATGTCCAAGCCCCTCACACACAAAACCTCCTTTACCCCTTCCCTCCAACCTTTCTTAGGATGACCCCTACCCTGCTGTCCTTCAACTATAGATTTATATGCTCTCCAAGTCATTCTATTTTGTTCCATCTTCTCTAAATGTCCAAACCACCTCAATAACCCCTCCTCTGCCCTCTGGATAATACTTTAAAAAACCTCACACCTCCTTCTAATCTCCAAAATACAGTTTTTCTGCATTATATTCACACTGCACATTGCCCTCAGACATGACATCTCCACTGCCTCCAGCCTTCTCCTTGTTGCGCAACATTTACCACCCATGCTTTACATACATATAAGTGTTGGTACCACTATACTCTCATACATTCCCCCTCTTTGCTTCCATGGATAATGTTGTCTCCACAGACTCCTCAGTGCTCCACTCACCTCTTTCTCCCTCATCAATTCTATGTTTCACCTCATCTTTCACAGACCCATCTGCTGACAAGTCCACTCCCAAATATGTGAATACATACATTCATTTGCTCCATACTCCCTCCCACCATCTGATATCCAATCTTACATTACCTAAATTTTATCCTCATCACCTTACTCTTTCCTACAGTCACTTTTCCTTCTTTTACATACCCTTCCAAACTCATTCACCAACCTCTGTAACTTCTCTTCAGAATCTCTCAAAAGCACAGTGTCATCAGCAAAAAGCAACTGAGACAACTCTCACTTTGTCATATCCTTTATTTCTTAATCCCACACCTCTTGCCAACACCCGAGCTTCACTTCTCTTACAACTCCATCTATAAATATATTAAACAACTATGGTGACATCATGCATCCCTGTCTAAGGCCTAATTTTACTGGAAAATATTCTCCCTCTCTCCTACATACTCTAACCTAATCCTCACTATACTCAAAAACTCTTAACTGCTGTCAGTAACCTACCACCTATTCCACATGTGCTCAATGTTCATCTGCCAAACTGCTCTCCTATCTACCCTATCATATGCCTTTTCCAAATTCACAAATGTAATGAAAACTTCTTTACCCTTGTTTAAATAGTGTTCACCTATAAGTTTCACTGTAAACACTTGGTACACACACCCCCAACCCATCCTATAGCCTCCTTGTTCATCTGCAATCCTGCTCTCCATCATACTCTTAATTCTTTCAATACTAATGACTACCATACACTTTATCAGGTATATTCAACAGGCTTGTTCCCGTATAATTTTTACACTCTCTTTTGTCCCCTATGCCTTTATACAAAGGAACAATGTATGCTCTCTGCCAGTCCCTAGGTACCTTCCTCTCTCTCATACATTTATTAAATAAAAGCACCAACCATTATTCCAAAACTATATCCCTACCTGCTTTTAACATTTATGTTTTTATCCCATTTTTCCTTTAACCCTGCTGGCCATCTCCCACCGAGGCAGGGTGACACAAAAAAGAAACACTTTCTATATCAATTACACTATCACTGTCTTGCCAGAGGCGTGTAGATACAACTTCATATATCCCTCCAGATCACAATTATCTCAATCCCCTCCTTTACAGAGCAGGCATTGTATTTCCTACCTCCAAAACTCAAGTTTGGCTGACTGGTTTCCCTGAATTCCTTCACAAAATGTGACCTTGCTCACACTTTAACAGCTCATTCCTATCTAAGAAGCTCAGTTATGCCTGCTGTATGTCCAAGCCTCTTGCACACAAAATCTCCTTTACTCCCTCCCTCCATCCTTTCCTAGGACAACCATCAGGGGTTGTCCACTACAGATTTATATACCCTCCAATTCATCCTATTTTGCTCCATCCTCTCTAAATGACCAAACTACCTTAACAACCCCTCCTCAGCCCTCTGGATAGTAATGTAGATGAATGGTTCAGAGAACCGACAAGTTGATAAATTTGACACGTGCAACACTTGGGTATCTTTATCCTCAATAAAGATACCCAAGTGTTGCACTGTGGATAGTACTTTTAGTAACTCCTCACCTTTCCTTATCTCCAACTACAAATTCTCTGTATAATATTTATGCCACACATTGCCCCTCAGACATGGCATCTCCACATGGAGAAGAATCTCCTGGCAACTAAAATGTCAGGAGCTTCTCCTGTATAAATTACTAAATGTAAGATGATGAAACTTTACATTTACTTCTTGTCTGAGTCATCCTGCCTCAGTGGGAGAAAGCCATTGTGTTAAAAAAGTAGCTAAAATAAAAAATAATTATATAAGTGCTTGAAGACCAAATATTAAGAATTAAAAAAAACAAACAAACCTGATATGGTACCCCTTGCTGGTAATACTGCACCTGCTGGGGAGCTGTTTGGTATCCCTGAGGAACCGCCTGGTAACCCTGAGGAACTGCCTGGTATCCTTGAGGAAGTGCCTGGTATCCTTGAGGTACTGCTTGATAGCCTTGAGGAATGCTATTGGGGTGGGCTTGTGGTAGCTGCCCATGCTGAGAATCAGCATTTGAGGGATGCAGTCCTTGAGCAACAGCAGCAGCATGTGATCCAGGGTAGGGCTCACCATGATATATGGCCGGCTGGGCAGGTGGCATCCCATGGTAGCCAGGAGGGGGTGGGATCTACAGGGTGAAGGAAACACTGCACATGTGCTGATATGTCAAAGCCTGCACCATATCCACTGCACCTTCAATTCACCAAGTGAGGTTATGCAACAATACAACCTTCCATGCAGTATTCACTATTAGTTATTTGCAGCATTTTCAAGATATAACAAGCAGCAGAACCACAAAACTTCACTACTTAATGGCTAAGAGCACTTGCAAATGAAGTAAGGACAGTTTTTCAGGCATTATATATCTATGCAACTTAATCTGACGAATAACTTAAACAGTTTAAAACTGCTTGGATTTTGCATGAAGTTATATTCACATTACAAAAAGATAATGTTCAAAGTGACTCTATTAGCTAAATGGAAATCATAATTTTATTCACATGCAGACATACAAATTAACAGCCATAAACTGATGGAGGAATGGCTGTCATGCCAAGATGGAGGAATGCCCATCATGTCAAGATACAGGAATGACCATCATGTCAAGATGGAGGAATAGTCATCATGTCAAGATGCAGAATGGCCATCACACCAAAATGGAACAATGACCATCACCCAAAGATGGAGCGATGATTATCACCAAGATGAAGGAATGTCCATCAGGAAATAATGCTGATTTTGAAAAGTACAGAACTAATTGCATATTATTCTTATTGATAACTATGGGAGTTGTATTGAACTTTTAAACAAGAGAACTTGTTAAGCAAAAATAAAAGACTAGCTGAAAAAGCCGACCAGCCTTAATTACAAATCAGCAAGACACAATGGTGCTTATTCAAACAATATCACAGCACAGGGTGGTGCATTGCACACGCCTCATACAGCTCAGTGTAACCAAGAACTGCTGCCTCTGCTAACAGCAAGCCTGATGTGCACTCTTCAGCTCAAATATCCAGCCAGTTTTGTAGTGATTTTGTTGTAAAAAGCATTATACAGCAATGAGCAAAAATAATTCAGTTATGTTTATAACTGGTTCACTGTTAGCTTAGGTAGTAGTTAAAAGCTCGAAAATCTAAAATTCATGACATACACAACAAAATATCAATAATAATGTAAGCAGAAGACAATGCATATGTATAATTTTGTATTTTCAAACAATGAAGTTTATCCAGTAATTGAATATTAAAAGTAAACCGTTTAACAAGTCTTTAGGGGTAAATCATTTAAGGAACTATTTCTGTGATAATCAGACAATGCTATAAAAATAATATCAAGTTTGCTTGAAAACACATTTAGTGACAAGAAACAAGCATACAAAATAACAAATGAAAAACTACTAAACTTTATTAAGAGCTAATTCAGAATTCACATTCAAACTTACTGATCCAGACTCAACCAAACGCCTGATTTCCTCCTGACGTTCACGTTCAAACTGCTCGTATTCTTGCTGAGAGTATAGCTCCTGCTCATCTAGACCCTGCCATCCACCATCCTGCTCAAACTCTGCTCGCTTTGTTTGTTCCACAAACTCTTGAAAGCTGTGATAATAGAACAGGATGTCTTATACTACTCTCATGGATCCTGACAATAATAAAGTTTATATTGTAGGCCTTAGACAAATAAAAAAGAAATTATATTTTCCTCTATCTTTAAGGAGGCTCAGATTAGGGTATGTAGTGAAGATCATTTTCCAGTAACAGGCCTTAGACAAAAATGTGTGATGTCTCCATAGATGGGTGTGCAAAAGAAGTAAAGTTAGTGTACTGGGGAGAGATGATTCTGATGAGAAGTTGCAAAGGATAGTAGACAACTATGGGAGGGGGTGTAAAAGAAGAAAATTAAAAGTGATCACAAAATAAAGAGCAAAATGATGACAGTAACAAAAAAAAGAGTAGGCAGTGAAAAATTGAATATCAGACTGGAAAGAGGAATAATGGAAGTGAATATATTTAGGTATTTGGGAGTGTACATGTTGGCAGATGGGTCTATGACAGATGAAGTCACTCACAATAAATTATGGGAATGAATGCTGAGGTGCCTATGGACAGATAAGTTTATCTATAGAAGCAAAAAGGAAAATGTACCAGGGAATAGTGGTACTAACCCTTTGATATGGAGGTGAGTCAAGAGCTATAAACATTGGAGTAAAGAGGTTGGCAGCAGTAGAAATGTCATATTTGAGAGCAGTGTGTGGTGTGAATATTATGCAAAGAATTCATAGCTCAAAAATTAGATGATGTGTAGTTATGAAAGATATTATTCAAACAGTAGAGGAGCTGTAGAAGTGGTTTGGACATTTCGAGAGAATCAAGAGGGTGTATGCATCCAGGGTATAAGGAAGGAGAAGAGGTCATCACAGGAAAGGGTAGGAAGAGGGCAGAAGGGGCTTGAACACCTAGCAAACATGAGAGTTCGAACGCACTTATTGGAGGCAGTTGGTTTAGGGATTTGATGTGCTGCTTAAGTGTGATCAATGGTAACATTTATGAAAGAAATTGGGAAAAATTGGTTAACCAGATTTGAGTCCAGGAGGTGGGAGGTTTAATAACTAGACTGTGAAGGTGTGGAGGATGTTACAGTTCAGGGGATCATTTAAATTATGATGTCTATGCATTTCAAGCAAAATACCTATTGAGTAATGACTTTTTTTTTTTTGAGGGGGTCACCCTACCTTGGTGATAGGTATCCAATGTGGAAAAAATATTTTTAAAATAATCCAAGTCCATTTAATGTAGTAACCAAGGGTAATGCTGTATTACTGCTATATTATTCTGAACATGAGAGCAAGGGGCTACTAACCCCTTTTCTGGTATAAATTACTAAATTAAAAAAGAAAAAAATTGTGATTTTCCTTTTAGGTCACCCTGTCTTGGTGGGATACGGCCAGTTAGTTTTTTTTTTTTTTTAACATGTCGGCCGTTTCCCACCGAGGCAGGGTGACCAAAAGAGAAAGAAAAACCCAAAAAGAAAAAGAAAACTTTCATAATTCAACACTTTCACCATCACTCATACATAATCACTATCTTTGCAGAGGTGCTCAGATACGACAGCTTAGATGTCCCTCCAAACTGCCAATATCCCAAACCCCTCCTTTAAAGGGCAGGCACTGTACTTCCCGCCTCCAGGACTCAAGTCCAGCTAACCAGTTTCTCTAAATCCCTTCACAAAATATTACCCAGCTCACACTCCAACAGCTCATCAGGTTCAAAAACCGTTTGTCTCCATTCACTCCTATCAAACATGCTTATGCATGCTTGCTGGAAGTCAAAGCCCCTCACCCACAAAACCTCCTTTACCCCTCCCTCCAACCTTTTTGAGGACAACCCCTACCCTGCCTTTCTTCCCCTACAGATTTATATGCTCTCCAAGTCATTGTACTTTGCTCCATTTTCTCTAAATGACTAAACCACCTCAACAGCCCCTCTTCAGTCCTCTGACTAATACTTTTAGTAACTCCACACCTCCTCCTAATTTCCACACTACAAATTCTCTGCATAATATTTACACCACACACTGCCCTTAGACATGACATCTCCACTGCCTCCAGCTGCCTCCCATGTTTCACGCCCATATATGAGTGTTGGTACCACTATACTCTTGTACATTCTATTCTTTGCCTCAATGGATAACTCTTTATATTTTTCAACAAATGGCCAGTTCGTTGAAAAAAATTATTTCTGTACATGAAATTTCCCCAAGAAATAAATCCAACTTCTTCTTTCAACAAACCGGCCATATCCCACTGAAGTAGAGTGGCCCAAAAAGAAAAACAAAAGTTTCTCTTTTAACTTTAGTAATGTATACAGAAGAGGGGGTTACTAGCCCCTTGCTCCTGGCATGTTAGTCACCTCTTACGACACGCATGGCTTACGGAGGAAAAATTTCTGTTCCACTTCACCATGGAGATCTTCTTTCAACACACCGGCCATATCCCACCAAGGCAGGATGGCCCAAAAGGAAAAACGAAAGTTTCTCCTTTTACATTTAGTAATATATATGGGGGAAGGGGTTACTAGCCCCTTGCTCCCGGCATTTTAGTTGCCTCTTACGTCACGCATGGCTTACAGAGGAAGAATTTCTGTTCCACTTCACCATGGAGATAAGAGGAAATAAACAAGAACAAGAATTAGTAAGAAAATAGAAGAAAACCCAGAGGGGTGTATGCATATATATCTTCTTTCTTGTTTCAATGCACCAGCCGTATCCCACCGAAGCAGGCTGGCCCAAAAAGAACAATGAAAGTTTCTCTATATAAATTTAGTAATGCATACAGGAGAAGGGGTTATTAGCCCCTTGCTCCCAGCATTTTAGTCGCCTCTTACAACACACATGGCTTACTGAGGAAGAATTCTGTTCCATTTCCTCATGGAGATAAGAGGAAATAAACAAGAACAAGAACTAGTAAGAAAATAGAAGAAAACCCAGTGTGTATATATATACGCTTGTACATGTATGTGTAGTGTGATGTAAGTGTAAGTAGAAGTAGCAAGACGTACCTGAAATCTTGCATGTTTATGAGACAGAATAGACACACCAGCAATCCTACCATCATGTAAAACAATTACAGGCTTCCGTTTTACACTCAATTGGCAGGACAGTAGTACCTCCCTGGGTGGATGCTATCTACCAACCTATCATTGATCTTTGGTATTAATATAAAATGTACTTGCTCACCTCCCTCACACTATACTGTCAATATCCTTTTTACTATATTACTGTAAGTTTAAGATATCAAACAGAATACCCCAATCCCACTTTATCCACAATTCTAATTCCTATGCTCTTTATGGGAAAAATAACATTTTCTTACCTGATAAGATTATCCTTGTCAAGATCTGACTCCTTAAAAACATGTTCACGCATTCTCTCCATTTCTTCAAAGCGTTCATTAATGTCATCTTCTGGAGCATTAGGGTCATACATCTTGTCAAGCTCTTTTTTGAACAAAGCTTTCACTTCCATCTCATCCCAGAAGCCATTACCATCAAGATCTGCTGATAAATAAATGTGCATAATAACGTGGCTGGAACAACACAAATAACCCAAATGTAGGAGAATGAAACTTATGATGATGTTTCAGCCCAACTTGGACCATTTAGTGTGACTAGTAAATGGTCCAAGTCAGACCAAAACAACATCATAAGTTTCAGTCTCCTATATGCGAGTTATTTGTACAAGAACTGTTGAGTTTGTATAAGTTAACTTGGCTTGTAAGTTACAATTATCAACAATCATGAATGGCAGCCATGCTGCTTAGTTGTAATGATGCCACAATTAATATAAGCAACCAAAAATACATCTTATAACAAAAACAAAATAGTATGAAACACTGATATCTTATATACTTTCTTCCTATAATCTTTTTAAATGCCACAATTTTTGTAGACTTTCATGAGATTACACTGTTTTTAACTTGACTTACTATACAATGTTAAAAGATCAAAACTCTGCAGCATACAGTAAAAACTACAACTTTTTTTTACTGTACTACTAATGTTCAAATTTAAAATCCTTCCCTTGTACTTATATATTTATCACAATATTCATTAGGGTAGGATATGTAAGAAGGAAGAGGATTGTTTTCCAGAAAAAGTAGTCCCTAGACAGGAATGTGGGATATTATCATAGTATATTTATAGACAAGGGTTGGGGAGAAGCATTGGATTAAATGAAAATTAATTCGATATGAGGTGGGAGTTGTCACAGTTTCACTTTGGCAATGACAGTTCTTTTGGGATATCCTGAAGAGAAATTGTAAAGATTGATGGAACATTAAAATTGTATAAAATACAGACAGGTATTTTATACCTGAAATTTTATACTGAAATAAAGATACCATTAGGTATCTTTATTTCGAAATGTTTTGCCTACACAGTAGGCTTCTTCAGTCGAGTACAGAAAAGTTGATAGAAGCAGAAGATACTTGAAGACGATGTAATCAGTCCATCACCCTTAAAGTTTTGAGGTGGTCAGTCCCTCAGTCTGGAGAAGAGTATTGTTCCATAGTCTGAAACAATATGGAGTTGAAATGACAGGATGGAGCCTTATATACCGCCAAGAGGTGAGATGTAGGCCACTAGCAGAGGTAAGAATGAAGTCGTTGGGAGGTCAGGTCCCTCTCAAATCCAGCCATTCTCACTAGTAGAAGTAGTCCAAGTTAATTTCAGGTCTGTACCAAGATACTTGTGTTGCAATGTCTGACAGAGTGAACATTAAAATGGTACAAAATACCGACAGGTTGTTAGGTAAGACACATATGCAACAGTTAGGTATTTTTATTTCGAAACGTTTTGCCTACACAGTAGGCTTCTTCAGTCGAGTACAGAAAAGTTGATAGAAGCAGAAGATACTTGAATTGAGAGGGACCTGACGTCCCAACGACTTCATTCTTACCTCTATTAGTGGCCTACATCTCACCTCTTGGCAGTATATAAGGCTCCATCCTGTCACTTCAACTCCATATTGTTTCAGACTATGGAACAATACTCTTCTCCAGACTGAGGGCCTGACCACCTCAAAACTTTAAGGGTGATGGACTGATTACATCGTCTTTAAGTATCTTCTGCTTCTATCAACTTTTCTGTACTCGACTGAAGAAGACTACTGTGTAGGCAAAAAGTTTCGAAATAAAGATACCTAACTGTTGCATATGTGTCTTGCCTAACAAAGATTGATGGAGTTTGAGAGGAGTGTAAAAGAAAATTAAAAGCAAATATAGAAAAGAGCAAAATGATGAGAGTAACAAAATGTTTAGACAATACAAACAAAAAATATCACAATGGAGAGAAGTACAGAGGAAAAGAAGTGTTGAAAAACGTATCTGGGAGAAGACGTATTGGCAGATGAGTCTACAAAAGACAAAGTTAATCTTAAACTAGTTGAAGGGAAAAATATAGGTGGTGTTGAAGCGCCTGTGGAAACAAACTTATCTATGGAGGCATATAAGGGGAATGTAGCAGAGTGTAGTAGTACGAACCCTTTTGTATGGGTGTGAAGCATGGTTTATAAAAATTGAAGTGATGATGAGGCTGGAGGGAATGGAGATGTTGTGTTGGAAGACATTGTGTGGTGTGATTATCATACAAAGAATGCCAAGCATAGAAATTAGAAGACAGTGGCTGGTTATAAAATTATAATTCAGAGGACTGAGGAGATGTTTTTGAGGTAGTTTTGGAATTTAGAGAAGATGAAGCAGAATAAGATGACCAAGAGGGTGTATAAATCCAGGGTGTAAAAAATGAGTAGAGATCATCTCAGGAAGAACTGGAGGAAGGGTGTGAAGGGAATTTTAAATGGTAAGGACTTGAGCATTCAGTAATTACATGCTAGCTTGTAAAGTTGGAGTGAGGAAAACACTTTTAAGATTTTGACATGCTGTTGGAGTTTAAGCCAACTAACATTTATGAAGGGATTTACAGATCCAGTTAGGTGGACTTGAGATGAAAAGTACAGTGCCTGCATGATGAAGAAGATATGGGGATGTTACAGTTGGGATGGGCCATTTGAAGTGTGATGCCTGCACACTTCTGGTAAGACAGTTATTGAATGAATGATAGTGAATGTTTCATTTTTTTTTTTTTTTTTTTTTTGGTCAACCTTCCCTTCGTAGGATATAGCTGGTGTGGCTAAAAAAATAAATCACTAGGAAATGCAAAATCCATAGGGGTTATACTTGTGCCACAGGGGTTATATAATGCCTATGGACTGGAAAGTAATCAGGTTTGATTCAAGGGAAGAATACTTTCAATTTCTTGTATCAAAAGTCCTTCATCAGCATCTAAGCACTCTCTGTATTAAATGATAAATTTCACTCAAATCAATTATCTTTAAATTACTTGTATGTACTCTAATGGTCATCACAACAGTCAACCAGTATGTAAGAATTTTACTGGTGATCCCTACAATATACAAGCTCAATTTAACAATAATCTTTATAATAGCAAATGAGAAAACAGAACCATAACAAAAATGTTTGGTTAGCATATCAAAGAGAAGAGAGGAACATACCGTGAAGGTGGAAGAAAGTCTTGGGATCAAAGTCCTCAGGCTGCATATGATCCTGCTCCTCCCACACCTGTCATTAAAGCAAATCATAAGAATTTGGGTGGTAAGTAAAAGCAGGAAATTAAAAGTGAAAATAGGAAAGAGAAAGGTATGAGAGTAACAAACAACTTTGGCAATGAAATGCAGTGGACCCCCGCCTTACGATATAATTTCATTCCAGAAGTATGTTCAGGTGCCGTTACCAAACAAATTTGTTCCCATAAGGAATATTGTGAATTAGATTAGTCGGTTTCAGACCCCCAAAAATACACGTACAAAAGCACTTACATAAATACACTTACATAATTGGTCGCATTGGAAGCTGATCATAAGGCGGGGGTCCACTGTACTGGATATCAATTTAGAAGGAGGGGGTAAAAGTGTTTAGATATTTGGTAGTGGCCTTATTGGCAGATAGGTCTATGAAAGATGAGTTGAACCATAAAGCTGTAGAGACAAAGAAACTTATCCATGGAGGCAAAATGGAGAATGTACAAGAATATAGTGGTACTAACAATGTTATATAAGTGTGAAGAATAGATTTTAAACACTGCAGCAGCAAGGAAGTTGGAGGCAGTGATGTCATGTTTGAGAGCAGTGTATGGTGTGAATATTATATAGAGAATTTGTAGATTGGAGATTATGTGTGGGGTTGCCAAAAGTATTATTCAAAGGGCAGAGGAGGGGTTGCTGAGGTGGTTTGGACATATAAAGAGGATGAGGCAAAAGAGGATGACCAGGAGTACATATAACTTTTATTAGAGGAAAGGGGAGACAGAGTTATCCCACGAAGGTTTGGAGGGATTTTGAGTGCTAGGGGCTTATGTATCCAACAAACCTTGGGGTAAGCATAGTGCCTAGTATATCACAGAGGCTCACATCAGCCAAAAAATCTCTGCAGCCAATGCTTGCATAGCAAATCTAAGAATGATCTTCAGGAATTTCAATAAAAAGTCATTCCAGGGATTTTATGCAACAAAACCTCAAGCCTATTTTGGAGTATGCAGCACCAGTATGGAACCCACACCTCAGGAAGCATGCTAAGAAAATGGAGAAAGAGAAGAAGTATGCAACAAGGTTTGTTTTTGGTTAAGGGGTATGAGCAATGAGAAGCTAATGAAAGTGAATCTAATGACATTGAAAAACAGAAAGAACTATGCAAAAATACTTGGAACTGATATAGTAGACAAGATAGACAAGAGCAGAATGTTTGAGAGGCAAGAAATGGGAACTCAGGGATCTCAGAATGTATTTCTTCAGTCTCAAGAGTGGTCGGGAAGTGGAAAGATCTAAATAAGGAAGTGGGGAGGCAGGCTCAGTATATGCTTGAAGAGCATGTATGATTGGGCACAAGAGGCTACAAGGGAGTGAATCTGGTAAATGGAAAATTAAGAGACAACCAGGGGCTGTGAATCAACCCTTGTAATCACAAAAAGGTGTCACATATGCATGCACGTGTGCACGCACACGCGCACACACAAAAAAAAAAAAAAGAAAAAAAAAAAAAGATGTATACATATACAGTGCTCATCAACGAAGTGTATGCCAACCCCCTCTCTAAAAACAACCATAAAATAGGTCATCTCTTGTGCTTCAGCACATCCTTCAACTATATAGGAAGAGATTAACACATTCTTCAGGGTTTTGTGGGGTAAATCCCCTCACAATTCATGGATGGTGTCCTCCAGCTGTGGGAGTAGGTTAATGTCCTTCCCCTAGTAGATCTCTCTCTATCATAGCCCAGAGGTTCTCAATGGGGTTCAAGTCTGGGGACCTTCCTGGCCAGTAGTCAAAGAGGGGTACCTCACAGTTACAAAGTCAACGGACATCAGATTATGCAGTGTGGCAAGCAGCACACTCTTGCTCCTTCAGACAAATGATCATAGAGCAATTCTAGGTAAGTTTCCTAGGCTTCCCTGGATGTGCTTTTGGTGTGGGCATATCATCAATACTGTCCTCAAGGAATGAATACAACCACATCCTCACTGAACACTAACTCACATCTATTGATTCTAGTATTTCCTGCATTTGATGGCCTCCCTTATGTAATCCAATGATTTGTAGAATTGTATACTGAGTCAGCAACTTACTCTTTTTTTTTTTTTTTTAACAAGTCGGTGGTCTCCCACTGAGGCAGGGTGACCCAAAAAAGAAAGAAAATCCCCAAAAAGAAAATACTTTCATCATTCAACACTTTCACTTCACTCACACATAATCACTGTTTTTGCAGAGGTGGTCAGAACACAACAGCTTAGAAGCATATACCTATAAAGATACACAACATATCCCTCCAAACTGCTAATATCCCGAACCCCTCCTTTAAAGTGCAGGCATTGTACTTCCCATTTCCAGGACTCAAGTCAGGCTATATAAAAATACAGTGGTCCCTCGCTTTTCATAGTTCTCGGGAATCATAGATTTCGGAAATCATAGGGATATTTTCGTATAAACATGGGCTCGCGAATCATAGGTTGACTCGCGAATAGTAGTTCGTCCGGGACACGTACGCACGGTGTGAGCCGGGGCGGCCTCCCTACCCAGCCAGTCTGGCATTGTTTACCAGTGAGCGAAGGTCCCCTCACGTGCTCCTACGAAATATTTCATAATATTCCACTCATTTTAGTGCTTGCAAGTACTAAATAAGCTACCATGGCTCCAAAGAAAGCTCCTAGTGCCAAGCCTGTGGTAAAGAAGGTGAGAAATACACCAAAGCAATGTTTCACAGGTGCTTGACTGTGACCACAGACACTCACTTGACCCTAAGGGAATTTTGGAGAGAACACTTCAGCATCCTCCATTGCATAACCCTTATACGTATGGCTTGGGAGGGAGTGACTACCAGGACTTTGAACTCTGCTTGGAGAAAATTGTGGCCAGATTGTGTCGAAAAGAGGGATTTTGAAGGGTTTGGGACTGACCCTGATGAGCCTATATCTGTTGTTAAATCAATTGTGGCACTGGAGAGTTCCATGGGGTTGGATGTGAGTTTGGAGGATGTGGAAGAGTTGGTGGAAGACCACAACGAAGAGCTCACCACTGAGGAGCTGCAAGAGCTTCAGCAGGAACAGCAACAGATCGCAGCTCAGAATCTTGCTGCAGAGGAGGAGGAAGAGAGATGGAAGAAGGTGCCTTCTTCAGAAATTAAAGAGATTTTTGCTATGTGGGGTAAGATGGAAAGCTTTATGGAGAAACATCACCCTGACAAGGTTGTTGCAAGCCATGTTGCCAACATGTACAGTGACAAAGTCTTGGGCCATTTTAGGGAAGTGTTAAAGAGACGCCAGAAACAGAGCTCTCTCCACAGTTATTTTGCGAGACAGGACTCCAGTGACTCTCAAGGTTGTCCTAGTGGCATTAAGAAACAAAGAAGAGAAGCAACCCCAGAAAAGCAATTGGTACCTGAGGTGTTGCTGGAAGGGGATTCCACTTCCGAACTGTAAACAATCCAATCTCTCTCCTCCTCCAGACTCCCATACACTAAGAAGAATCTCCAATAAAGGTAAATGTTATGATGTTAATGTTTCATTCATCATTTCCCATTGTATTGTTTATGTACTACATCTATATTTCATGTAAAAAAATTTTTTGTTTTAATATTTCTGGGTGTCAGGAATGGATTAATTGTATTTACATTATTTCTAATGGGGAAAATTGATTCGCAAATAGTAGATTTCGATAAGAGTAGCAACTCCAGGAACGGATTAACTACGAAAAACTAGGGACCACTGTAATCGGTTTCCCTGAATCCCTTCACTAATATTACCCTGCTCACACTCCAATAAATCGTCAGGTCCCAAATACCATTCGTCTCCATTCACTCCTATCTAACAGGCTCATGCACGCTTGCTGGAAGTCCAAGCCTCTCGCCCACAAAATTTTGTTTACCTTCTCCCTCCAACCTTTTCGAGGACGACCCCCTACTCCGCCTTCCTTCCCCTACAGATTTATACGCTCTCCATGTCATTCTACTTTGAACTTACTCTTGCCTGTATTAAATTGTCAACAGCCAAAAATGTCCAAAACTTGACCTTCAAGACCACATGACGCTGAGAGACTGTGGACACACTTCCAAATCACTTTAGATGAATTTAGGGAATCCTGAGATCTCCACCCTACAAGCTGCTAGGTCAGCACAACTTTTTGTCTCATCAAAACACCTACCAGGGTAGGGTATTACTTTAATGTTGAGCAAGCATTGCAAATAAATCTTATATAAAAATAGAAATTAAGTGCATATTAATTATTACAGGCAAAAGGTAATAATGTTTATCTACAACATTTATTTACAACTCATTCTTTATAATATAGTTATGCTAATTACACATGACAGATTTCTGAAATATATCTAATAAAGAAAATTCACTCCTCACACAAAGCCAGTTATTTTCTCTAGTCCTAGCTTAAGGGCCATGTCGAGTAAAGTTGATCAATAAGGGTAGGATAAAATAAAAATTGGAAATGAATGTAGCTTTCTGGAAAAATATTGATATTTAAGACTACTCCAGTGATATGGATGATGTGCTACTATAAGTAACATCAGATAAAGTTCTAAGGCACAGTGAACAAAAACTATTTAGAAGATTAAACATAACAGCAATGGATAGAAATGAGAGTATAAGTGAGACAGCCATGTTTGATACAGAAAGTTTGAATATTAAATATAAGTCGACAATCAAAAAATTAATGTATCTAAGGTTGCAATATTCATTATGGCTATATAATTTTAGTCTTAAGAGCTGACACAATTTTAATCCTTTTACTGTCCACAGTGTCCAAGAATTTAAAAAAAAAAAAAAAAAAAAAAAAAATTGGTTATTTTTTCTTATGAAATTGTAGAGAATCTTTTTCTGAAGGTAACAAAACAAAGTGCAAAATTTGATCAAAAACTGACGAAATTACACTTTTGTGAAATTTGCTGTGTCAACAATATGTAAGCATCAGCTATTTTGCCCACTTTGAGTTTGATTTTAGGCCAATTATTCTGTTCCAGTCAACCAAATTGTTAGCTATTTCGCTAGTATGTCTTCAATTTTATCGAATGAACACAAGAAACTGCCCAATCAACTACCCAATAAAATGATCAGAAATTTGTAATTTGGACATCTTCACACAAATTTCAAAATAGGGTCCAGAATAAACAATCCAGGCACTCTGGGCACTAAAATAAGATATCCTCTGTTCATCAGATACATTTCCAGGGTTTATACATGAATTCATTTAGACTTTTTATTCACACAAAGAATTTTTATTCATACAAAAAAAAAAAATTTGTACTGTTATGCAATACTGTAATAACTGCATATATAATATCAGCTCATTCTTCTTCTTTCAACAAACCGGCCATATCCCACTGAGGCAAGGTGACCCAAAAAGAAAAACAAAAGTTTATCTTTGTAACTTTAGTAACTAATGTATACAGGAGAAGGGGTTACTAGCCTCTTGCTCTAGCATTTTAGTCACCTCTTACGACGCGCATGACTTATGGAGGAAGAATTCTGTTCCACTTCTCCATGGAAATAAGAGGAAATAAACAAGAAGAATTAGTAAGAAAATAGAAAACCCAGATGGGTGCGTATACAATACATATGCTTGTACATGCAAGTGCAGTGTGACCTAAGTGTAAGTAGAAGTAGCAAGACATACCTGAAATCTTGCATGTTTCTTCTGTATCCCACCAAAGCAAGGTGGCCTAAAACGAAAAACAAAAGTTTCTCTTTTTAACTTTAGCAATGTATACAGAAGGGGTTACTAGCTCCTTGCTCCCGGCATTTTAGTCGACTCTTACGACACATATGGCTTACGCAGGAAGAATTCTGTTCCACTTCCCCATGGAGATAAGTGGAAATAAACCAGAACAAGAACTAGTAAGAAAATAGTATAAAGACACCAGCAATCCTACCATCATGTAAAACAATTACAGGCTTCCATTTTACACTCATCTGGCAGGGCAGAAGTACCTCCCTGGGCAGTTGCTGTCTACCAACCTACTACCTACATCTTGCATGTTTATGAGACAGAAAAAGACACCAACAACCCTTTAATCATGTAAAACAATTACAGGATCAGCCCATTCGGGAACGCATATCAGACACAGCAGTTAACGTGTACTGGACGCGTGATGTGATTTGTTTACACTTGAACACTGGCAAAAATCGAACATTTCCGCCACTTTGAACTATTGTCGGTTGTAAAACCAATCAAAATCATCTCTATTTCTGTAATATATCCTCCATTCTATCAAATGAGACCAAGAAACCAAGACTACAACCATAAAAACCATATGAAAATACACGGCAAAGATGGTTTTAAACCAATAACACAGTCGCAGTTTTTTTTTCTCATTATGCACTGCATGGTACAGGATTTGTTTATATGCTGCACACTTACCACACAGACACATTCTCTCATATCTAGGCCAAAATTTACCGCTTACAGCTTATCTGAGTGAGCCGAGCTCATCACGTAGTACTACAGCACGGCCAGCAACAGGGTTAATATATGTACTGGCATTTACCTCTTCTAACTGCTTTTTTGAGCCAGGATGATGGAGTTTACTGTGACGTCCATGTTTCTTAATCTCTTCCTCATGTTCAGCTTCAGCCTTCTTGCGGTGTTCTTCATCCATCTTAGCCAGTTCTTGCTGTCGTTCAAACTCTTTTTCCATTTCGTAATTTTTAAATTCCGTACGACGCTGTTCATCAACTTTTTCCAAGTCTTCTGTAGTCTGTAGGAATGAGATATGTGTATATTTTTAATTCCTCTTTACATCAAGGGTATACTGTCTGCAATTTCAATACATTACTAATTGCAATAAACAACACTTTGTATATACTAGTATACTTAAAAAAATACTGAAATATACTTTTTCACATCAAGGGATGCAGTATTTCAAATCATTTATTTATAAAATAAAAAATTTCTTCTTACCAATATATCCACAGTCATATTTCCTTAAACTTGAATTATCATGTAATAATCCTCAAAGTACTTTACATAATGCAGAATTTAAACAACAGTTAGAATCAACTTCAATGTCTATTGTCACACATTAATTCATCAATGCTCACACATGACTAATTTGGTCTATGAACTTATAGCTCACCTTGAGAATTAGCTTCTTTAAATCTTCCACTTCAAATCTGGTAGGATTCTTATGGTCAATGTGGACAGGAACCTTCAGCAAATTTCGATCCACACCTGTCTCCTTCTCATGCTCCTGCAGTTAACAAAACATAAAAAAACAGGTGAGCTAAGTCTGATGAGAGTACTATTAGAGTTAAATTGTATTGAAATGTTTCGGTAACATGAGCTTAGACGTCCCTCCAAACTGCCAATATCCCAAACGCCTCCTTCATTTGTAATGCTCATTTTTTTTTTTTTAACACGTCGGCCATTTCCCACCAAGGCAGGGTGACCCAAAAGAATGAAAAACCCAAAAAGAGAGAAAAAACTTTTGATTATCAGTCAACACTTTCACCATCTCTCATACATAATCACTGTCTTTGCAGAGGTGCCCAGATATGACAGTTTAGTCACTCCAAACTGCGGTATAGTTCGTAATTCCTACTGGCAAGGCCATTATATACTGTATATTAGAAATATTACTGAAGCAAGCACTAATGTATGTGGCATCCTGCTAGTGATATTATTCTATACAGACATTTTACCTAGTATCATTAACTGCAATTTCCTTTCAAACAGGAAATCTTTCAAGCACAATAATGCTTAATTTTTTAAATAACCTATGATTTACAATTTTCTGACTAACCCTTTCAAGTGTTGAGACCCCTGCTCTCAAACTTGCTCTCAGGGTCAAAGAATTAAAAAAAAATTATTTTATCTTATGAAATGATAATCTTTTTCCAAAGGTAATGAAACCAAAAGTATGAAATTTGATGAAAACCTCATGGAATTGTGCTCTTGCAAAGTTAGCGGTCTCAGCAATATTTACACATCGGCAATTTTGTCCACTGTGCTATATTTTTTAGCCAATTACATTGCTCCACTCCACCAAACTCATAGCTATTTTGCTAGTATTCCTTCTATTCTATCAAGTGAGTAAAATAAACTGTCCAGTTTCCTTTTTCAATTATCCAATAAAATGATCATGATAAAAAATCAGTAATTTGGCCAATTTCATAAAAAATTCAACAATTGCCAGTTTGAAAATAGGGTCCAGGGTATAAATGTAGTCATTCCTGGCACTTAAATAAAAATTTCTTCTGTTCCTGTGTCATGTCTCCAGGCCCCTCTTATATTAGGCTTGCTTTTCATTTTGAATATTTATTCACACAAAAAATAGAAGATTTACTGTTAAGCAGACTACTGAATTACTTTAATAATTGTATAAATAATGTTGGTGCATTCCTAAATGTGTATAAGACTGGCCAGCTGGATGCATATCAGACAAGTGATGTCATTTGTGTACTCTGGAATATTGGCAAAAATTGAGCATTTCTGCTACTTTGAGCTCAATTTCAAGCTACTTTCAGTCCTGAAACTAATGAAAATCATCTCTATTTCTGTAACATATCTTCCAATATATCAAACAAGACTAAGAAACCAAGAATACGTACAACCATAAAAACAATACAAAAATACATCACAAAAACAGTTTTAAACCAAAAACATGGTCATAGTTCTTTCCTCATTATGCACTGCATACTGCAGGATTTCTTTTTATATGGTGCACACTTACTGCATAAACCCATTCTCTCATATCTAGGCCCAAATTTACCACTCACACAGCTTATCTGAGTGAGTTGAGCTCATGGCGTCATACTATGTGATCGATACCGGCTTCAAAGCCATGATACAATGTGACCGACACCAAAAGGGATTAATGGACAACAGATAAGTACATCAGATAAAATAAAAACTGAGAAACATAATAATTAATATATGTGAAGGCAGTGGGTGTTAGTTGTGTACATTCAGTTGAGAACAGTGGTGTGAGTGGCCTGTTTAAAACACCCTCCCTCCTTCTCCACCACTAAATGAAATCAGTGTCCTAAATCATAATAAATACAAGTTAGACAGACAGTTTAACTGTGTGGCAGGATGTAGAATGATTAATTATTAATTAATTGTTTTCACAAAAAAGTACTACTCTTCTTTAGAGCACGAGTGTAATTGCTAGGTTTCACATTTATGCTGGGGCTGTAGTCAGCAATAGTAGAAAGTGAACCAAATACACTTCTTTATGCTGTCTCATGGCCTCATTAGCAGCTGTAACTACATTATAAATCATATCTAAAACTGCCTTTGATAAGTAACTGCAAGGAAATAATGGAAATTACCAGTAGCCAGCACAACCTTTCAGCTGGATTTTATTTTCTGTAGTTCTAAATATGTACCTTATGTACAATATTCAAATACAACCCAATGCTGAATATGAGTCAACTTAAATTTTTCATATAGTTCATGCATAAATCTATCCTGTTTTTTGAAGAACTTTCAAAAAGTATCAGATGGTTTTGATGCAAAAAAAATGTTCTCGACAAAACTTGCAAAAAGTACTACTGAAAACCAATATTTGACAAAAACACACAAACATTCAGCTGAAACACTTTATGACAAAGATGGCACAGGAGAAAAAGTCAGCATATGAGAGGTTTTTACAATATAGAAGTAATGTATTTTTTCCTAACACACCAACTACATTTGTATGTGAGAGCTACTGAATGAGTTTATTTGTTTCTTTCTTTTCCTGCTTTGATTTTATTGCTGTCTACTCTATTACATATGAAAATTACTATATACATATATCATATACAGCATGTCCAAAGTACAGTTTAGGTACATCCAAGAATTCCTCAGTTAAACAAGTTCTTTAAAGGAAAATCTATCAAAATTACCTCACAACTTTATGATAATCCAGAATGGACCAAAATATTGTTTAAAGTTTCCACTCCAAACTGATAACATTACCTTGATTGCTAGGTGGCGGAGACGTTCAAGTTCTCGACGCTTCAGCTCATCCAGCTTAGTACGAACATTATGGTCGACAAAGTGGAGTTCTCGTGCAATCTTGCCAGACTAAAAGAAGATAAATTCAGGTGATTAATGGTATAAATGAAGTGCATATCAGGGTTGGCTGATTTAAACCATGGTTTAAACTGAATAAAAAACTTTTTTATTAATTTACAATTTTTTTCTTGGTTTTAATAAGTTACTTGTAGGAGAGGTGTGAATTAAAAGAGTCTGACTGATATGAAATGGCAGTTGTTATAGTTTCTCTCTGCCAATAACAGTCCTTTTTTGGAAGATTCTGAAAAGTTGCAGAAGTCAGTGAACACATTTGTGTGTGTAAAAGAAGGAAATTAAAAGTGAACACTGAATAGAGCAAGGTGATGAGAGTAACAGAAAGGCTTGTGACTTGATAAAGTGCATACTGCATTTGTGTCCATTTTTCCACCAACAGTAACCATGAGTTAAAACAATTCCTGAATCACATAAGAAAAACATTCAAAATAAATATCTCCTTGATACTCTATGTGTACAACTCAACTTGAATATACACTCCGTGCCAAAATATGGAACCTATCTGAAAGTTGACAAAAAAAAAAAAAATGCAATATTAACCCTTTCAGGGTCCGTCCCGTAGATCTACGGCTTTACGTTCAGGGTCCAAACCGTAGATCTACGCCATGAGCTCAGCTCACTCTGATAAACTGTGATTGGTACATTTGGGCCTAGATATGAGAGAATACATCTATGTGGTATGTGTGCACCACATAAAACAGATCCTGCAGCACACTGTGTATAATGAGAGAAAAAAAATGAAATCATGATTTTTCGATTAAAACAGCTACTTTGCAGTGTTTTTTCGTATGTTTTTTATAGTTGTATTTGCGATTTCTTGGTCTCATTTGATAGAATGGAAGACATATTACAGAAATAGAAATGATTTTGATTGGTTTTAGCACTGGAAATGGCTTGAAACTGAGCTCAAAGTAGCGGAAATGTTAAATTTTTGCCGATATTCAAGAGTAAACAAATGACCTCACACGTCTAATACACGCCAGCTGGTGGGTCTAATATACATTCACAAATATGGTGATGATATTTATACAATTATTACAGTATTGCATAACAGTAAATCTTCTATTTTTTTGGTGTGAATAAAAATTCATTATGTGAATAAAAAATCAAAATGGAATTTATTTGTAAAGCCTCAAAATATAACTAATGAACAGAGGAAATGTTAGTTTAGTGCCAGGAATGCCTACATTGTTCATTCTGGACCCTATTTTGAAATTGGAATATTTTGAACTTTGTGTTAAATTGGCCAAATTAACAATTTCTGATCACTTTATTTTGTAGTTGAAACAGTTGACTTGGCGATTTCTTGTGCTCAATCGATAGAATAGAAGTAATACTAGTGAAATAGCTAAGAATTTGGTTGATTGGAATAATGTAATTGGCCTAAAATGGGAGTCAAAGTCGGCAAAATCGCTGATTCATAAATATCGCTGACACATCAAAATTCGCGAGAGCATAATTTCGTCAATTTTCCACCAAATTTCGTACTTTTTGTTTTATTACCTTCACGAAAAGATTCTCTACGATTTCATAAGAAAAAATAACAAATTTTTTTTTTTTAAATTCTTGGACACTGGTGCGTGACTCCAGATTTGGGCCTTGGACCCTGAAAGGGTTAAATATGTATAGATCCATGGGGAAGTGGAACAGAATTCTTCCTCCGTAACCCATGCGTGTTGTACGAGGCGACTAAAATGCCTGGAGCAAGGGCCTAGTAACCCCTTCTCCTGTATAAATTACTAAATTTATAAAGAGAAACATTCGTTTTTCTTTTTGGGTCACCCTGCCTTGGTGGGATACGGCCAGTTTGTTGAAAGAAGAGATCATAAACATTTGCAATGTTAATTTTAAATTATGCTGCTAACTTATTCAATTATACCTCCCAATTGTAATCCAAACCACTTATTATGCACAAAAATTATTCATAATGAACTGTCATAGAAAAATAAAATTACAAGTTACATTCTTAATCAATATACCTGTTCTAGTATTAAGTAGTTTGTCAGTGCTATTCTTAGTCTCCCAGAATGCTTTGTATAGCAAGTGGCTTTCCTCAGAATGTACAAATAATGTACGTAATCCCTAAGGTACAAATAATGTAATCCCAGAGCTGAATCAACACCTGAAGTATACCTGGAGAGGTTTCCGGGGGGATCAACGCCCCTGTGGCCTGGTCTGAGACCAGGCCTCATGGAGGATCAGGGTCTGATCAACAAGGCTGTTGCTGCTGGCTGCGTGCAAACTGACGTACGAACCACAGCCCGGCTGGTCAGGTACTGACTTTAGGTGCCTGTCCAGTGCCTTCTTGAAGACATCCAGGGGTCTATCCCCCTTATGTATGCTGGGAGGCAGTTGAACAGTCTTGGACCTCTGACACTTGGTGTGTTTTCTCTCAGTACACTCATGGCACCCGCTTTTCATTGGGGGAATGTTGCATCTCCTGCCGAGTCTTTTTGCTTTCATAGGGAGTGATTTTCATGTGCAAGTTTGGTACTAATCCCTCGAGGATTTTCCAAGTAAATATTATCATGCATCTCTCTCACCTGCATTCCAGGGAATACAAATCAAGGGACTTCAACTGTTCCCAGTAATTTAGGTGCCTTATCATACTTATGTGTGCCATGAAAGTCCTTTGTACACTCTCCAGGTCAGCAATTTTGCCTGCCTTGAAGGGGGCAGTTAGTGCACAGCAGTATTCCAGCCTAGAGAGAACTAACAATTTGAAGAATCATCATGGGCTTGGCATCCTTAGTTTTGAAGGTTTACCTGGAGAGGGTTTCAGGGGTCAATGCCCCCGTGGCCCGGTCAGTGACCAGGCCTCATGGTGGATCAGGGTCTGATCAACCAGGCTGTTACTGCTGGCCGCACGCAAGCTGACGTACGAACCACAGCCTGGTTGGTCAGGTACTGACTTTAGGTGCCTGTCCAGTGCCTTCTTGAAGACAACCAGAGGTCTATTGGTAATCTCCCTTAAGTATGCTGGGAGGCAATTGAACAGTCTTGGGCCCCGGACATTTGCTGTATTGTCTCTCAGTGTACTCGTGGCACCCCTGCTTTTCATCGGGGAAACGTTGCATCTCCTGCCAAGTCTTTTGCTTTCATGTAGAGTGATTTTCGTGTGCAGGTTTGGTACCAATCCCTCCAGGACCTTCCAAATGTGTATTATCATGTATCTCTCTTGCCTGCATTCAAGGGAATACAGATCAAGGACCTTCAACCATTCCCAGTAGTTTAGATCCCTTATTGCATTTATGTGTGCCATGAAAGTTCTTTGTACACTCTCCAGCTCTACAATGTCGCCAGCCTTGAAGGGGGCCGTTAGTATACAGCAGTATTCCAGCCTAGAGAGCACAAGCGATTTGAAGAGAATCATCATGGACTTGGTATCCCTAGTTTTGAAGGGTCTCATTATCCATCCTATCATTTTCCTAGCAGATGAGGTAGATACATTGGAAAAGCAGGATAGCCGTAGCCACAGCCACTCAAGAGAGGTTTTTTAGTGCCAGGAAGGAAAAAAACTGGCAGGAAATGGCAGAAATCGTACACCAAATCCATTCATTTCTGGAGTGGAATCACAGTCGATGGGCTCCACTCCAAACCAACAGACACAGATATTAGTGCCAGAACAAAAAAGTCCCCCCCCAGTACCACCAATCTGATGACATTCTTCTTTGCAAATATGAAGGATCTAAAGCCAACAACGAACAACAAAATGCCTTTCATCCATGGACTGCTTGCAGAGGCAAATGCAATGTTCACAGCTTTCACAGAGACCCTCATAAAGGATCACTAGGACAACGAAATATGGATCCCAGGTTACAACCTATACAGATGCGACAGAGTGAACAGACAAAAAGGGGGGGTTGTTGGCCTGTACATCGCAGAGTCACTTGTTTGCACAGAACTGCTTAATGCTTCAAATGTTGTAATGGAAGTTTCAGCAGTAAAGATCGAGAACCAAAATCTAGTCATTGTAGTAGTCTACAAGCCTCCGGATGCAACGTCCCAACAATTCCGGGAACAGCTGTTGAAAATTGACCATTGTCTGGAAAATCTTCCAGCTCCTGCCCCCAACATCTTGCTCCTGGGGGATTTCAACTTAAGGCACCTAAAATGGAGGAATATAGCAAATAATGTTGTTGCAGTGATAACACCAAGAGGCAGCTCAGATGAGAACTCACACACACACACACACACACACACACACAGGAGCTCGGACTCGACCCCCGCAACCTCAACTAGGTGAGTACACAAGCTTTTAAATCTCTGCACAAAATTCAACTTAAACCAGCAAATAATAGAGCCTACTAGACTGGAGAATATACTGGACCTCATCTTCACTAACACTGATAATCTGATATGAAATGTCACTATATCAAAAACAATATACTCGGATCACAACATAATCGAGGTTCAAACATGTATGCGTGGAGCCCCAGACCGACAAAATGAGATCATTCACGAGGGAACCTGCACCAAATTCAACTTCAATAACAAGAGCATAAAGTGGGACGAAGTAAACCAAGTCCTAAACGATATAAGCTGGGAATATAGACTAAGCAACACAGACCGCAACTTGTGCCTAGAGCAGATTAACTCGCTGGCACTCGATGTATGCTCAAGGCATATTCCTTTAAGAAAAAGGAGGAGTAGATGTAAAGTAGAAAGAGACAGGCGCTCCCTTTACAGGCGACGGAAAAGAATAACAGAGCGGCTAAGAGGCCAATATATCTGAAATGCGTAGGGAGAAACTGGTCAGAGAAATAGCAAACATCGAACTAAAGCTAAAGGAATCTTATAGGAGTCAGGAATCATGGGTAGAACTAAAAGCCATAAATGAAATCGATAGAAACCCAAAGCATTTCTTTTCTTATGCCAAATCAAAGTCGAGAACAACACCCAATATTGGGCCCCTACTTAAACAAGATGGGCCCTACACAGATGACAGCAAGGAAATGAGTGAGCGAATCAAGTCCCAATATGACTCAGTTTTTAGCAAGCCGCAAATCAGACTGAGTCGAAGATCTAAACGAATTTTTTATGAGAGAGCCACAAAACTTGGCAAACAAAAGCCCATCTGATGTTATTCTGATGCCAAATGACTTCGAACAGGCGATAAATGACATGCCCATGCACTCTGCCCCAGGGCCAGACTCATGGAACTCAGTGTTCATCAAGAACTGCAAGAAGCCCCTATCACGTGTTTTTAACATCCTATGGACAGGGAGCATGGATACTGGGGTCGTCCCAGTTACTAAATACAAGACATAGCCCCACTCCACAAAGAGGGCAGTAAAGCAATAGCAAAGAACTACAGACTGATAGCACTAACATCCCATATCACATAAATCTTTGAAAGAGTCCTAAGAAGCAAGATTGCCACCCATCTAGATACCCATCTATTACACAACCCAGGGCAACATGGGTTTAGAACAGGTCACTCCTGTCTGTCCCAACTACTGGGTCACTAATACAAGGTCCTTGATGCACTAGAAGACAAAAAGAACGCAGATGTAATATACACAGACTTTGCAAAAGCCTTTGACAAGTGTGACCATGGCGTAATAGTGCACAAAATGCGTGCTAAAGGAATAACAGGAAAAGTTGGTAGATGGATCTATAATTTCCTCACAAACAGAACACAAAGAGTAGTAGTCAACAAAGTAGTCTGAGGCGGGTACTCTGAAAAGCTCTGTTCCCCAAGGCACAGTACTCGCTACCATTTTCTTTCTCATCCTCATACCTGACACAGACAAGGATGTCAGCCACATCACAGTGTCTTCCTTTGCAGATGACACCTGAATCTGCATGACTGTCTTCCACTGCAGACACTGCAAGGCTCCAGGCAGACATCAACCAAATCTTTCAATGGGCTGCAGAAAACAATATGAAGTTCAACGATGAGAAACTTCAATTAGTACTCCGATATGGTAAACACGAGGAAATTAAAACTTCACCAGAGTATAAAACAAATTCCATCCACAAAATAGAGCAAAAAAAACTAACGTCAAAGACCTGGGAGTGATCATGTCGGAGGATCTCGCCTTCAAGGACCATAACATTGTATCAATTGCATCTGCCAGAAAAATGACAGGATGGATAATGAGAACCTTCAAAATTAGGGATGCCAAGCCCATGATGACACTCTTCAGGTCGCTTGTTCTATCTAGACGCTAATATTGCTGCACACTAACAGCACCTTTCAAGGCAGGTGAAATTGCTAACCTAGAAAATGTACAGAGAACCTTCAAGGCACGCATAACAGAGATAAAACACCTCAATTACTGGAAGCGCTTGAAATTCCTGAACCTGTACTCCCTGGAACGCAGGCGGGAGAGATACATGATTATATACACCTGGAAAATCCTAGAGGGACTAGTACCAAACTAGCACACGGAAATCACTCACTACAAAAGCAAAAGACTCAGCAGATGATGCAACATCCCCCCAATGAAAAGCAGGGGTGTCACTAGCAAGTTAAGAGACAACACAATAAGTGTCAGGGGCCCAAGACTGTTAAACTGCCTCCCAGCATACATAAGGGGGATTACCAATAAACCCCTGGCTGTCTTCAAGCAGGCACTGGACAAGCACCTAAAGTCGGTACCTGACCAGCCGGGCTGTGGCTCGTACGTTGGACTGAGTGCAGCCAGCAGTAACAGCCTGGTTGATCAGGCCCTGATCCACCATGAGGCCTGGTCACAGACTGGGCTGCAGGGGTGTTGACCCCTGGAACTCTCTCCATGTAAACTCCAGGTGTTCTATTTGTTAGGAAGTTATAAATCCATCTACCAACTTTTCCTGTTATTCCTTTATCACACACTTTGTGCACAATTACACCATGGTCACACTTGTCGAAGGCTTTTGCAAAGTCTGTGTATACATCTGCATTTTGTTTATCCTCTACAGCATCCAGGACCATGTCATAGTGGTCCAGTAGCCGATACAGGCAGGAGCGACTTGCTCTAAACCCGTGTTGCCCTGAACTAGTATTTAGTCACTTAGCCATAATACCAACTTACCTCATAATTTGTAATATTTTAAATTTAAGAATTAATCTAAGTCTGCCCGAAATGCCTAGCCATGCTAGGTGTTCTAGTGGTACCCTCTGTAATTATTATTTTACTACATGTAAACCACACAATAACCAAATTCTGTAAACTCAGCATTGTAATCCTTATAGAGAATAAACTTTGAATTGAATTGGGTTGCGTAACTGATGGGTATCTAGGTGGTTGGCGATCTTGATTCACAGAACCCTTTCAAAGAATTTTATGATATGAGATGTTAGTGATCATAAACCCATTATTGTACTGTGCTTTCAAAAGACTTAACATACTACTGTACCTTGATGTCATCCACCTCTGCAGTTTCTAGTTTCTTCCTGAAGGCTGCATCACTTTCCAGTGCTTGTACAACTTCTTTTAAGTATCGACCATATTCCAAATTTAATTCCTGAAGAAGAGATATGTCTGTCCTGAACTTTTATCATAGATGGACTGAGATACTGACTAAAGTTATGTCTCCAATTTATATGTTGGCTGTGAAATGTATTAGAGAAAAACATAAGCACTCATGCACGAAAATGAATGCACAGGCAGTCTCGTCAGTTTCATACACAAGCACTGACTTTGTTTCTAGCCTCAATGACTATGAAGCAGAGCCAACTTGAAACATATTCCTAATAAAAGGTGACTTTACATAGTTTTGCTAATATTAAGAACAAATATTTATTGAAAAAAATCGTATTTAACCATTTAGCATTTAGTATTAGTCAGCAAAAAATGGTCAAAGGAGAATCTCATAAGTGATCTGGCATGCAATCATTACATTATGTAGACACAGTGATAGAATACCCAGAAAACCCTGACATTTAGGGCTATAATTCATAAAAAAATTGTAATTATCTATTAAAAAATTGAGTGATGTATGTGATGCAGATTTTAAGGATTTGTCTACATTTGCAGCCTGGCCTGAGGCTAGTTCTCCTAAAATCTATTTTAAAAAGCTGCCTGCAATCATTACTTCTTCAGTCTTGTTCATCATTTCCCAAACTAACACATCTGCACGACCACTCACCCAGTCTTCGTTGTGCTCCTCCCCATCTTTGTGTTCATCACTCTTGTGTTCCTCTGCTGTCTTATCCTTGACAGGGAGAGCCTCAAGGAAGGAGCCCACCAGCACTGCTGCCACTAACAGTCGCCACCTCATGCTGAGCATGCTGCAAAATTACATTATTATCTACACATGAATTTTCATTAACCAGTTGACACACTATATTATTATTACATTCAAAGAGGAAAGCTAAACTAAAAAAGATAATACAGTACCTGGGAGAATGTGAGCCATTCAAATTTGATCCAAGGAAAGGAAACAAAGGTCCAATTCCTTAAAGCAAGAGCCCTTACTGCCAACAAGGAGCCTCATTTGAAAAACTGTGTATACATGTATTACCACAAAAATTGCAAAATTAGTATTAAGCACCAGAAATGATAATCATAAGCTGGTGCAATAAGATAAGATAAGATTTCGTTCGGATTTTTAACCCCGGAGGGTTAGCCACCCAGGATAACCCAAGAAAGTCAGTGCGTCATCAAGGACTGTCTAACTTATTTCCATTGGGGTCCTTAATCTTGTCCCCCAGGATGCGACCCACACCAGTCGACTAACACCCAGGTACCTATTTGCTGCTAGGTGAACAGGACAACAGGTGCAAGGAAACGTGTCGAAATGTTTCCACCAGCCGGGAATCGAACCTGGGCCCTCCGTGTGTGAAGCGGGAGCTTTAGCCACCAGGCCACCAATGATCAATAAACCATACCAAGGGCAGGGACTGAACTCGTAGCAAGTGAGTTGTAAAACTCCCGGCCAACGCATAAGCCTCTGGGCCAGCTGGCTACAATAAGATTCATCCAAACAGGTAGATTTATATACCACGGAAAGGTTTGCATCGGCCCCACTGTGACCACAAATACAAGTTTTTACAGATTAATCTCCCGCCAGCATGGCCATGACAAACTCTAGCTCTAGTCCCCTCAAAGCCATCATCGTGACTCACAAAATTGTAATGACGCGATTACAAACAAACCATACCATGAGTTCAATCCCCGACCATGGTATAGTTTGCAATCGTGTCATTATGATTTCGTGAGTTACAGTGATCAATAGTTGTAGTTATCAACAGCTGGTGCAATGATCAATTGTTGTAGCTGGTGCAATGAAGAATAACTGTACTGATTAACAGCTGGTGCAATGAATAATAATTGTAATGATCAACAGCTGGTGCAATGATCAATTGTTGTAGCGATCAACAGCTGGTGCAGTGAAGAATAACTGTACTGATCAACAGCTGATGCAATGATCAATTGTTGTAATGATCAACACCTGTAATAATCAATAGTTGTAGTGATCAACAGCTGGTGCAATGATCAATTTTAATGATCAACAGCTGTAATGATCAATAGTTGTAGTGATCAACAGCTGATGCAATGATCAATAATTGTAATGATCAATAGTTGTAATGATCAATAGTTGTAGTGATCAACAGCTGGTGCAATGATCAACAGTTGTAATGATCAATAGTTGTAGTGATCTACAGCTGGTGCAATGAAGAATAATTGTACTGACCAAGAGCTGGTGTAGTAAACTTATGCTATGGTCAACAGCTGGTGCAGTAATCACCAGTTGGTACAGTGATCAACAGCTGGCACAGTGATCAACAGCTGGTACGGTGATAAACAGCTGGTACAGTGATCAACAGCTGGTACGGTGATCAACAGCTGGTACAGTGATCAACAGCTGGTATGGTGATAAACAGCTGGTACAGTGATCAACAGCTGGCACAGTGATCAACAGCTGGTACGGTGATAAACAGCTGGTACAGTGATCAACAGCTGGTATGGTGATCAACAGCTGGTACAGTGATCAACAGCTGGCACAGTGATCAACAGCTGGTACGGTGATCTACAGCTGGTACAGTGATCAACAGCTGGCACAGTGATCAACAGCTGGTACGGTGATCAACAGCTGGCACAGTGATCAACAGCTGGTACAGTGATCAACAGCTGGTACAGTGATCAACAGCTGGTATGGTGATCAACAGCTGGTATGATCAACAGCTGGCACAGTGATCAACAGCTGGTACAGTGATCAACAGCTGGTACGGTGATCAACAGCTGGTATGGTGATCAACAGCTGGTACGGTGATCAACAGCTGGCACAGTGATCAACAGCTGGTACAGTGATCAACAGCTGGTACAGTGATCAACAGCTGGTACGGTGATCAACAGCTGGTACGGTGATCAACAGCTGGCACAGTGATCAACAGCTGGTACGGTGATCAACAGCTGGTACGGTGATCAACAGCTGGTACGGTGATCAACAGCTGGTACGGTGATCAACAGCTGGCACAGTGATCAACAGCTGGTATGGTGATCAACAGCTGGTACAGTGATCAACAGCTGGTACGGCGATCAACAGCTGGCACAGTGATCAACAGCTGGTACGGCGATCAACAGCTGGAGCTGGTACAGTGATCAACAGCTGGTACGGTGATCAACAGCTGGTACAGTGATCAACAGCTGGTACAGTGATCAACAGCTGGTACGGTGATCTACAGCTGGCACAGTGATCAACAGCTGGTACGGTGATCAACAGCTGGTACAGTGATCAACAGCTGGTATGGTGATCAACAGCTGGTACAGTGATCAACAGCTGGTATGGTGATCAACAGCTGGTACAGTGATCAACAGCTGGTACAGTGACGTGGATAATTCAAGGCTGAAATTTCCTCACTTAACTTCCTTAAAGCAGTGACACGTCAACCTTATTTTAAATTCCCCTAAATCATCCTTGTCTTTGGTCTTCTGATCTTGTCCTCACGTCACAGCTTTCTTACCAACTTTATTTATCCATCACCAAGAAAAAAATAATGGAAACTGTATCAAATTTGAGGTTAAAGCAATATTTAAAAGAGATCACTCACGTATGGTCAAGTTTGTTTAGGTCTCCACTAACAATGAGTTCAACAACCTATCTAAAAACATTTTTTTTTTTCATTTGGATAGTCTATGAGTAATTTGCACATTTGGACTGTTCCGTACGAAAAAAAATATGATAAGTGGTGGAATTGTGAAGGTGCTGCATTGTTTGATTAATTTCTAGATGGGTAGTCTTCATCCTGACGTCATAAATGTGATTTTTTTTTTAAATTTAAGACTATATACATTAGGTCGTTCAGACATACATTAACTTGAAACGATGATGGTTACAACATACAAATAGACTTTATCCAAGCACTTTATAGCCTACAAGAACCCCAATGGAAATAAGTCACTTTGTTTAACTATTTACGGTTATCCTAGGTAATTAACACTATGTATGATACCTGGAGTTTACCTGGAGAGAGTTCCGGGGGTCAACGCCCCCGGAACTTATGTATCTGTGTAGGGTGACTGTTGCAATGCTATTGTGGCTGATTTATTGTTGATAAACTGTGTAAGTTTATTTAAGAACAGGTACACATAGTACATTGCAGAGTCACTTGTTTGCACAGAACTGCTAAATGCCTCAAATGATGTAGTGGAAGTTTTAGCAGTAAAGGTCGAGAACCAGAACCTAGTCATTGTGGTAGTCTACAAGCCTCCGGATGCAACATCCCAGCAATTCCAGGAACAGCTGTTAAAAATTGACCACTGGGAAAACCTGGGTAGCCACAGCCACTCAAGAGGGAGAGGTTTTTTAGTGCCAGGAAGGAAAAAAAACTGGCAGGAAATGGCAGAAATCGTACACCAAATCCAGTCATTCCTGGAGTGGAACCACAGTCGATGGCCTCCACTCCAAACCAACAGATACAGATACTAATGCCGGAAAAAAAATCCCCCCCCAGTACCAACAATACCACCAGTCCGATAACATTCTTCTTTGCAAATATACAGGGTCTAAAGCCAGCAACAAACAACAAAATACCTTTCATCCGTGGACTGCTTGCAGAGGCAAAGGCAATGTTCGCGGCTTTCACTGAGACCCACATAAAGGATCACTTGGACAATGAAATATGGATCCCAGGTTACAACCTATACAGATGTGACAGAGTGAACAGGCAAAAGGGGGGGGTTGGCCTGTACATTGCAGAGTCACTTGTTTGCACAGAACTGCTTAATGCCTCAAATGACGTAGTGGAAGTTTTAGCAGTAAAGGTCGAGAACCAAAACCTAGTCATTGTGGTAGTCTACAAGCCTCCGGATGCAGCATCCCAGCAATTCCAGGAACAGATGTTAAAAATTGACCACTGTCTGGAAAATCTTCCAGCTCCTGCACCCAACATCTTGCTCCTGGGGGATTTCAACTTAAGGCACCTAAAATGGAGGAATATAGCAAATAATATTGTTGCAGTAATAACACCAGGAGGCAGCTCTGATGAAAACTCACACTCACACGAGCTTTTAAATCTCTGCACAAAATTCAATTTAAACCAGCAAATAATAGAGCCTACTAGACTGGAGAATACACTAGACCTCATATTCACTAACAATGATGATCTGATAAGAAATGTCACCATATCAAAAACAATATACTCAGATCACAACATAATTGAGGTTCAGACATGTATGCGAGGAGCCCCAGACCGACAAAATGAGACTAGTCACGAGGGAGCATTCACCAAATTCAACTTCAATAACAAAAACATAAAGTGGGACCAAGTAAACCAAGTCCTAACCGATATAAGCTGGGAAGATATACTAAGCAACACAGACCCAAACTTATGCCTAGAACAGATTAACTCGGTGGCACTCGATGTATGCACAAGGCTTATTCCTCTAAGAAAAAGGAGGAGTAGATGTAAAATAGAAAGAGACAGGCGCTCCCTTTACAGGCGACGGAAAAGAATAACAGAGCGGCTAAAAGAGGTCAATATATCTGAAATGCGTAGGGAGACACTGGTCAGAGAAATAGCAAGCATCGAACTTAAGCTAAAAGAATCCTTTAGGAGTCAGGAATCGAGGGAAGAACTAAAAGCCATAAATGAAATCGAAAGAAACCCAAAGTATTTCTTCTCCTATGTCAAATTAAAATCGAGAACAACGTCCAGTATTGGGCCCCTACTTAAACAAGATGGGTCCTACACAGATGACAGCAAGGAAATGAGTGAGCTACTCAAGTCCCAGTATGACTCAGTTTTTAGCAAGCCGCTAACCAGACTGAGAGTCGAAGATCAAAATGAATTTTTTATGAGAGAGCCACAAAATTTGATTAACACAAGCCTATCTGATGTTATCCTGACGCCAAATGACTTCGAACAGGCGATAAATGACATGCCCATGCACTCTGCCCCAGGGCCAGACTCATGGAACTCTGTGTTCATCAAGAACTGCAAGAAGCTCCTATCACGAGCCTTTTCCATCCTATGGAGAGGGAGCATGGACACGGGGGTCGTCCCACAGTTACTAAAAACAACAGACATAGCCCCACTCCACAAAGGGGGCAGTAAAGCAACAGCAAAGAACTACAGACCAATAGCACTAACATCCCATATCATAAAATCTTTGAAAGGGTCCTAAGAAGCAAGATCACCACCCATCTAGAAACCCATCAGTTACACAACCCAGGGCAACATGGGTTTAGAACAGGTCGCTCCTGTCTGTCTCAACTATTGGATCACTACGACAAGGTCCTAAATGCACTAGAAGACAAAAAGAATGCAGATGTAATATATACAGACTTTGCAAAAGCCTTCGACAAGTGTGACCATGGCGTAATAGCGCACAAAATGCGTGCTAAAGGAATAACAGGAAAAGTCGGTCGATGGATCTATAATTTCCTCACTAACAGAACACAGAGAGCAGTCGTCAACAGAGTAAAGTCCGAGGCAGCTACGGTGAAAAGCTCTGTTCCACAAGGCACAGTACTCGCTCCCATCTTGTTCCTCATCCTCATATCCGACATAGACAAGGATGTCAGCCACAGCACCGTGTCTTCCTTTGCAGATGACACCCGAATCTGCATGACAGTGTCTTCCATTGCAGACACTTCAAGGCTCCAGGCGGACATCAACCAAATCTTTCAGTGGGCTGCAGAAAACAATATGAAGTTCAATGATGAGAAATTTCAATTACTCAGATATGGTAAACATGAGGAAATTAAATCTTCATCAGAGTACAAAACAAATTCTGGCCACAAAATAGAGCGAAACACCAACGTCAAAGACCTGGGAGTGATCATGTCAGAGGATCTCACCTTCAAGGACCATAACATTGTATCAATCGCATCTGCTAGAAAAATGACGGGATGGATAATGAGAACCTTCAAAACTAGGGAGGCCAAGCCCATGATGACACTCTTCAGGTCACTTGTTCTATCTAGGCTGGAATATTGCTGCACACTAACAGCACCTTTCAAGGCAGGTGAAATTGCCGACCTAGAAAATGTACAGAGAACCTTCACGGCGCGCATAACGGAGATAAAACACCTCAATTACTGGGAGCGCTTGAGGTTCCTAAACCTGTATTCCCTGGAATGCAGGAGGGAGAGATACATGATTATATACACCTGGAAAATCCTAGAGGGACTAGTACCGAACTTGCACACGAAAATCACTCACTACGAAAGCAAAAGACTTGGCAGACGATGCACCATCCCCCCAATGAAAAGCAATGGTGTCACTAGCACGTTAAGAGACTATACAATAAGTGTCAGGGGCCCGAGACTGTTCAACTGCCTCCCAGCACACATAAGGGGGATTACCAACAGACCCCGGGCAGTCTTTAAGCTGGCACTGGACAAGCACCTAAAGTCAGTTCCTGATCAGCCGGGCTGTGGCTCGTACGTTGGTTTGCGTGCAGCCAGCAGCAACAGCCTGGTTGATCAGGCTCTGATCCACCAGGAGGCCTGGTCACAGACCGGGCCGCGGGGGCGTTGACCCCTGGAACTCTCTCCAGGTAAACTCCAGGTAAAACACACTAATATACACAACACAATATACAGTACACACTAATATACGCAGCACAATGTACAGTACACACTAATATATGCAACACAATATACAGTACACACTAATATACGCAACACAATATACAATACACACTAATATACACAACACAATATACAGTCCACACTAATAAACGCAACACACAACATAGAATATGCAGTACATACAACATTAAAAAAATACACATACATTAGCATTAACACTGGGGTCGTCCCACAGTTATTAAAAACAACAGACATAGCCCCACTCCACAAAGGGGGCAGTAAAGCAATAGCAAAGAACTACAAACCGATAGCACTAACATCCCATATCATAAAAATCTTTGAAAGGGTCCTAAGAAACAAGATCACCACCCATCTAGATACCCATCAGTTACACAACTCAGGGCAGCATGGGTTCAGAGCAGGTTGCTCCTGTCTGTCTCAACTACTGGATCACTACGACAGGGTCCTAGATGCACTAGAAGACAAAAAGAATGCAGATGTAATATATACAGACTTTGCAAAAGCCTTCGACAAGTGTGACCATGGCGTAATAGCGCACAAAATGCGTGCTAAAGGAATAACAGGAAAAGTTGGTAGATGGATCTATAATTTCTTCACAAACAGAACACAAAGAGTAGTAGTCAACAAAGTAAAGTCTGAGACGGCTACGGTGAAAAGCTCTGTTCCACAAGGCACAGTACTCGCTCCCATCTTGTTTCTCATCCTCATACCTGACATAGACAAGGATGTCAGCCACAGCACCGTGTCTTCCTTTGCAGATGACACCCGAATCTGCATTACAGTGTCTTCCATTGCAGACACTGCAAGGCTCCAGGTGGACATCAACCAAATCTTTCAATGGACTGCAGAAAAAAAATATGAAGTTCAATGATGAGAAATTTCAATTACTCCGATATGGTAAACATGAGGAAATTAAATCTTCATCAGAATACAAAACAA